CTTTTAATCCGGTGATGGTGGAAATGGGTGAACAGGTTACAAAGAGTGAATTTAAAAGGAAAAAAAAAGTTTTTATCTTTAAAAAACCTAAACGAGGGTTATTCTCAGAAAAAAACATGACCCATTCTCTGCACATAGACGGGGAGATTAAAGGATGATTTTCGGATAAATGTCAAACCTTATTAAGATAATTTTTAATCACGTCTTAATCAGAGTCTTCATGTTAACGAATTTTTTGGGAATTATAAATTTTTTTTCAAGCACAGTAATAGCTGGATAGGTTAAGAGATATTGCATTACATTATGCAGAATAAAGTTATTTTTAAAAAATGAGTAGATTCTATAATTTCAAAGTATACATGGCTATGGAAGCTTCCGTCTCTTCTATAAAATGTATCTCTTTACAAATCTCGTATTTAAAATTTAAATTTGCACGAATATATTTTTTTTCTTTCATTACAAAAAGACCAAGAAAAATGAGGTAAAGTAGTGGGATGAGAATGTATAGATACTGGTGTTCAGTCAGAGGAGGTACCATGACAAAGTTATTAATTAGATATAAATATAACCCCTGAAAACTTTGATCCTTATCGAGAGCTTATGTTCATGAATACTCGATCAGAAATTATGTTCCCATCAAATTAATTTATATAAAAAATAACCTCGTAATTTACCGTGAAAATTGTTTTATCCAATTTCAACAGAATTTATCGGGATAAAACTTTTTTCAGATAAAAAACAATATGATGCAATAAACTAATCAAGTCGAAATTATTTATCTCTGCTACAATGATAATATTGACATTGTCGAACATGAATTTAATTTTAAAAATTTTTTAAAAAGTTTCAATGTCTTTTCTTGCTTTTATGAATGCACTATTTTTAATAACAGTTTTGAAAAATAATTTAATAGGATGAACTGATAGAAAATACCTGTAAATTGTAGACTGCTAAAATATGGTCACTGCTATTTTTTCATTAGCCACGGGCCAAAAGTAGTGCGTCCAAGTGCTGTTGACGTGACTCACACGAGAAAACTGGTTTCTGACTTCCACTGTGTGATGCTCAGGTATCGTGCGATAAAGAATCTGTCGGCGTTTAGCGTTTCTTTAATAGTTCGCCTCCGAGGTAGCATCAGCAACTTAATGTCTATAAAAATCATCACCTCAAAGTTACACATAGACCAATCAAACGTTAAATTCTCATTATTCTTTAAAAACACATCATCATCATCACTTAAATAAATTCACGAGTCAAATGCTAATGCGTGAAACTATCATTAAAAGTCTTTTAATAAAGTTCCTTATCAAAAGAAATTTTACGATTATTATTGTAAATGAATCTTATTTATCGGTTGACTCTAATGTCCTCAAATTTGTTGCAATCATTTCTGTAGATATACATCGAAGATAAATTTCTTAATTACAATAAAAAAATTATCATCACAATAAAAAGCAATTGATTTTGTTTAAAAATTCTAGAATAATACTTAAAAATTTTATTATCAAATAAATTTAATCAAACGACGAATTCAGTAAAAAATATATAATAACTATACTAAACAAAAATGGCTTACTTTATCTGCGCTGTATTATATTTTGCCTCTTCCCAAATACTTCAACCCCAACATTTCATCTTCCTACCTTCATACAATCTAGTAAATTTCACCTCAACTTTTACAGTAAAACTGATAATAAATATTTTTTCATATTTCCAAAGAGAGTAAAACATGCAAAAACAGCGTCGATTAATTTCAACTTTTTCTGGTCATGTGGACAAATAACTCGTTAAATTATTAGGATGGATGAGTAAAATGTGCGCATAATATTATGGCTCATGTTAACCATGTATCCCGTCCATCATTCACATGATTATACACGAATATTAACTAGTCATGTCAATAATAGTAGACAACTCAGAAACTAAGATCAATGGACCTATTGATAGAAAGGATATGTCTTATGAGAATTCATGTCAATCTTGGTAGTTGGCATGATGCAATTGTGTTGGAAGCAATCACTAATTACAATATAACAGTATTCAACATCTACTGTATACAGATAGTAATTTAATGTCAACAGGATTAAGTGCTTTATTTGGAAGCATCAAAACTAAATAACTGTATAATTAAGATTGTAATCCATTTGCGTAATATATTTTCATGTAGAATTAACAAACATATAGTAGTTAGCATCTTTATTATTCAATCTACATGTTTACTACATCCTAACATATCATATCATTAAAATATGAATCCGTAACTCTATTAAATATTTTTTTACTCTTAATTGACCATGCCTCTAAATTGATTCGATTTGCGTGTTAATTAAATTTAAATGTGTTTTACTGTAACAAAAAATCTTTCTGTCAGTTGTAATGAACATGAGGAGCTCATGTTAATTGATGCATTTAATAAAGATATAATATTACTTGTATAAGAAATATTTTTTTTATTTTAACAGCAGGTAAAAAAAATTATTACATTTATTTATTTATTATTTTGTGGAGAGAACATTATAAATTGTAATTGTCAAATAAAATGAGATAAACGAATTGAATATATGAGTTCGTGGAAGTCTTTTTCACGCACGACAACGTAGCCACGAAAGTAGTGTGCAACAAAATGTCATGTTAAATTCGTTCACGCCTTTCACAGCAAGATATATCGTCCAAGCAGTTCGATCACTTGTGATACTGCATTGAGATATAGCTCGATTGTACCGATATTATATACACAATCAAAAAGATATCTATGTTGATGAAACTGCACTTTCTCGACCTCAAGCCAAGACATAAGAAAAGCTCTCTCCCAAAGAGGATGGTGTTACTATAAATTATAACCCAAGTTCGGGTGTTTTATTATTTTCGGTTTCTGACCATCGCCTCGAGATGTATGGAATATCGAAAATAGTATAGATTTCGTTCTTCCTAAATTTTTCTGGCTGTATGAACTCTTTCTAGTGCATCGTTTGGAATAAAGATAATAAATTTAACAAATATCTTTTCCACTGCTCGCAAATTCAACTAAAATTTTTAATATTTTATTCCAGTATCAATAACAAATGAAATGCAATTCTGATCTAATAATAATCAATCAAATGATAGAAATGATTAAACTAACTTACATTAAAAAATATTGTTTCACTGAAATTAATAGTTTAAATTATTCTTTATCGTATCTAAATTCATTTAATGTAGAGCTATTAATAAAAAAACAAAATTTTTATAAGCTAAAAACTGTATATAAAATAAAAAACAAGTTTTTGTAAATATAAATAATTGGAAAAAGAAGAATTTTTTTTTACTCCAGCTGTTCAGCAAAAAAAATTTATTGTTAACTCTAGTCTCTTATTTTTCAGCACAAAAGACCTCTCTACATGGGTCACTCTCTTTTGTAGCACCTTAAGTAAACTTAGTGTATTCCAAAAAAATCTAACAAAAATAAATTTTTAATTCTTCTAAAAAATTATGTACTCCACAAAACAACCAAGTTTTTTTATACACAGAATTTTTGCATTATAATGTTCAAATATTTTGAAGAAAAAATTGAATTAAAAATAAAATCTCTAATACAAGAATTATTAACTTAAAATTAAATAAATAAACAAGAACATAATAAATTTGGTGGCCAAAATGTTGCCACATAAATGAAGAATAAAACTTATACGATGAACGTGGATGGTCAATATTCAAAGTTTGGCATAAAACCAACAACCACGAGTCGTTAAACAGTTTGAAATCGTTGCTTGATAAATCACTGAAAGTATTACACTTATTTTTATTCCGCCCAAAGTTCAATAAATAGTCTATTAGATGTGTAATTTAACAAAACAATAAATTTATGCCATCTAATAATGTATATCATTCTTTTTTCTCTCTTAACTATTTTCAATTAACTATAACTGGTAGACGATGAATACTTGGGTGACACATTTAACAAATGATCTGAAAATCTGTGGCACAGCTTGTCTATCAAGGCAGCAGTGTTGATAGATTTTAATAAAGTGCATACAATGATTTCATCACGTTCCAATATGATGAAGAAAATGTAGAAAAATCAATGTGTCGAGCACGACAATTTAAATTATACTATAGAAAGAGCGCGCCATATTCAGAATATTATTACTCGAGAGTATTATACCATTATTAAAGATTTATCTTTACTGAAGACTTCAGAATGAAATATTAAGGCTTTAGTCCTGGGAATAGTAGCTAGATATTCGTCCAAGACTCTTTTAAACGTTTTTCTAACTTCTTTTTCATTTTTTCTATTCTTTTTTACTCTAATTTTTTTTTGAATTTCGTTTCCCAGTTACTACGGATTGTGCTTCGAAAAAGTTCCGCCGCCATGATGTGGGTAGGATTAGCTCAATATAAAATATGTCTTGAACAAAGTTATTATATGAAGACATGTCGAATTCATAGAACTGCATATCTTTTGAATTTATCACGATAATGTGAAACTTTAGATCATTAAAGTATCTTTGCTTCTTCACCTGCATCACGCGAGGATGTCTGACAAAAAATCACGTAATTTAGATCAACAACTGCTGAAAGTTTCGTGGAAGCTTAAATCAAATACATCGGACACATTTTTTATCTTGAAAATAAAAAATATTTCAGGACTAATTGGATTAATTTTATCAGAAAAAAATAATCATTTACATAAATACAAATTATTTCATGTGAACAGTATAATTAATTAGCCATAAACTGTTTCGTAAAATATCAGCCTTTCATTAGCCCTTAAAGCATAATTTAATCGTATATTATAAAATAATTTTCTAGTCGGACTTGTTGTGTTATATGCACCTTGCATTTAAATAAATCATTTAGTTTACCATAATCTTAGAGATTTAATACTAAGAACTGTCAGTTTTTTATATTATTGCAAAATAAGGAAATACCAATTGCAACATGCATATAGACAACATTTTTAACTCGGTAAATGGATACATAAGTAAAACATTTGACTTGAATAAATTCTTTATATGTTTCAGGCATCTACAGCGGTAAAAAACATGTGACAGATGGCCACGAGATCGTAGTACCACGCAAAGTAACACATAATGGCGATTTAATCAGTCATGACGTAACACACCACCATGTTGACGATAAAACTGAATTGCACTATCGTTTGGAGATGGCTGGATCACAATATCACTTTCAGCTGACACCATCCGAAGATTTTATCGCACCAGGAATGGTTGTGGAAAGACGAAAGCGCAGAATTCACGTACGCCATCAACCCAGAGAACACGCGAGTAAATGTCATTATCGGGGATTCATTAGAGGTCACCGAAATTCCTTTGTAGCATTATCGACTTGCAATGGTCTGGTAAGTGATACAGCTTTTTGATCGATTTCAATCTCACGGAAAATTCGAATTAATCTTTTTAGTCGGTCGATCGATTAACTTTTCATTAGTGCAATTTTACTGTTCGGTTTAGATAGTGATGATTAATCAACGCTTTGATTTTATCCAATTACAGTATTACTTTACAGAATCCACTATTTTCGCAAACAAAACAATAAAAAATTATTTTTTTATCCAGTTAAAATTAAAACATTTTTGAATCAACGAAAAATTAGTTTAATAAAATTAAAAATGATTAAAAATGGAATTTTTATTATTTGTTTGACATCATTTTTATAGTTTTAAAACAATTAAATTGTTTTAAGAGTATCTTTGGTATAAAATAAAAAAAAAACTGTGTTGCAAAAATTATTTTCTTGTTTATTGATTAGACTTTTGTTCATTAATCTATGTAGCATGCTAACATTTTATAACGAACAAACACACCTGTAAAGACTTCAAGCCTCAATGGTGCTATTACCTCTTCCCAACTATCATTCTTTATATAATTATCTGATCACAAAGTTGTTGTGAAAATAAGATATTCTACTTCACACATACTCTATTATCATTTCTAACTGTATAATCATTTTTTCTCGACGTAACTAATAGGAAATAAACACCACAAGTATTTCACCTCTATTATTCTATTCTTCTATATCCTAAGTTTAAATCAACATGACAGAAAATATATCATTCAATCTGTTATTAAATAATTCAACGAATAAAGATTTTCATCAAATACTTAATAAAATGATGAATATCTACCACATAAATATTGAACAAATTGAGATAAAAGCATGAATTGCTCCATGTTATTTTATGAATGAAACTTTTCCAATTTTAATCTATTTTATTTTTTTATATTTCACCTGCACCTTCGTTGAAACACGTCGAACAAATTATCAGTTTAATTCAATCTACACCTTTGGAGCGTTTAACCGTAAAAAAATAAATATGAGATATAATATAATTTATTATTCGGAAAGCTTCAATAACCCAATATTCAAACTAAATTATTCAAGTTACCCATCGTCCACTTCTTTCATTAGACGATCTCGATTATTCACATACATTCACATAAATAAATATTCAAATAAAAACATTTATTTCTATCCATAAAGTCATTATCTTTTAACTACATAAAATTTTCTCGATATTCCTCTTTCCAATCTCATTCTAAATAATATTATAAATCACTCGAAATCGTTCAGCAATTAGATGACAACTATAGTTGTGATTATGTTGCACAGCAGGTTTTTGAATTCTATTATTAATCAATCAAATAATCACTAAATGGCCATGGTAGCTTTTATCTTGACACGTTTAAGGTGTTGAAGATCAATTTCAAGTATACACATCATGATATACATACAGAGTATAAACTATTAGCCATATCTGATACGATGAATAAAAATTTACTTTATCTCTTCGTATTACACCACAAGCTATCGCTGGCCCTTTTACTCCTACATTCAATTAAATTATATTTCAGAAAGCAAAGGATCATAAAACATCCCTGCATGACTCAACATAAAAATTCGAATCTTTTACATGAGTAAATCTCTAATTGCCAATCACTATAAAATATTTTTACGCCGAATTTTGAACATAAAAATCACGATTTTTTCATTGGAAGTTGATTCAATGTTGGAGAAGTAAACGTTTCGATTTGGAGAATTGCATATTCAGTGCAAAATATCCGAGAATTTGCTATATATCTTGTGAACACGGGGATGAATAAAAAGCCGCACAGGGAGAGGTATGCGTCAGCGCAATTTGCTCGCAGCTTCCAGATAATGATTTAATTTGCCACGGCTTGGCAGATTTATAGCGGCGCACCTAGTCCTTCCAACATTACACATAAATACGTTTGTATGCATGGACTACCTACGTGTTGACTTTTGCTTACCTATATTTGTTTTACGGTAGCAACATTGATGAATACAATTATTATAGTTAAGATTTTTTAGACTAGTTTGAAGGTTTTATGTGCAGAAACCCTGAAATATTGAGATTTCCAGGTCTCATGCGATGTTCGGTAATTGCTCAATTTTCTTCATCAACTTGAATTATATAACTTCCGAGTAATTAAAACAGTTCTCGTATAATTTCCTTTTATTTGCTGTTGTTCAGGTAAAAAACAAATTATGAAGATGATAATAAATACAAATTTTATAATATACTGAATATAATTAAAACTCGCTATTTTTTCTTCAGTAAATAAATTAAATTTTTTTTAATTTCATTTCTTGATTAACCGGAAAATTTATTTCGTATGATTAACTAAATAACGTAGATTAAAAAAAGGTTATTCAAATGTAATCGAATTTTTTTTTTAAAAGGAAAATATTTTTTGTTAGGTTCAATAAATCGTTCTGCTGTCGCTGAAAATTAATATTATTCATTGATTATAAATTAATTTCTTTTTCGATCTTTATTCTGTGAATAAAAATTATCTGAATTTAAAAATATTTTTGACATTACTTATTTTCTCGTAAAAACAACGGTATTATTTTTATACTAAGTTGATGCAAAATCCCATTGTATCGAAAAATAAATATTATTAATGAAGAAAAATAAGCCCACATTCATTATCTATAACTGAAAAGTTGGACAGCTTGGGGAGATAAAACAAGAATCAAGTTGTTAGTAAAAAAAACTATGACTGGCTATGCGTCTTGTCGCGTGACTCTTCTCAACAAACACCTACTTGGATAAGGTCTTGACCTCTATTCGTCACGATTATACGCATGCTGTTTCAACTTCCTCGACAGTCAAGAAAATACAATTTGTTTCATCGCATTTAGATTGCTTGCACTCTAAAAGCCACATTAAAGTCATGGATATGAAGATAAAGTTAGCATTGACTTTGTCTAATCTCCAGTGGAATAAACAATGATAAAATATAACTTTCAGCAAATCAATGAAAAATATATATTCATACTTATCAATAACAAGCATTATTTGCATGAGTAAGTTTTTCTTTATCTGAACAACAACAAATGGTAATTATTTTTATTAGAAAAATCTTATATATCTTCAATGAATATTCAAACATGAATTAGATAAAAAACATTTGCATCAATTCATAGTATTAAGATATATCAAGATATAGAATTGTAAAACCATTGTTTTGATCAAGCTTATTATGTTGCAATAATGCGTAAAGTAAACACTTGTCTTATAAATCAGCATTCGTCAGAATGCACGAACTAGTCTCTATAAAAGATCAATGGATAGAACACAATAATATACCTCTCATTTGTGACTATTTTACGACACTAGATAAAGTTATCTATGTCGTCATGATTGACTTTTATTCGTAAATCATGTACTAATGGGTCGGCTTTTAAATAATACTAAATGTATATCTATAGGCTTATAATATAAAACACTTTGCTTGAAGATCATAAGTGATAGCTGTAACCGCGAACTAGGTAATTAATGGGGTATGATGGTGTCATACAGTGACTATAAATGATTGTACAGCATTTATGGTCACTTAAAGTGTTTGGAATTAGTAAACATATTTCAAATAGCCTTGGTTTAAAGGCTGGATCGTAAAACCTTCATTGTAAACTTGATGGCTTGAAGATCAGATTCATTGAATAAAAGTGAACTGGGTTGTAGGTACTTGCATAACATATTATTATTCATTCTCAATATAATTTTTTGCTTATCACGAAAGATGTTGAGGATAATTATTTTTCTTTCTTTCTGATAAAAACCTAAATTTTACGTTAATTCATCAATCAGTAATTAACTAACATATTTAATACAGACGATTAATTTAAACGTAAACATTAAGTATTCACATCATTTTTTTAAGAAAAAAAAAAATTGGCAAACACTAATCTTCATGTTATTAAATTTGCATAAATTTTATCTAGAATAAAATACATTCGTTTTGCTTTCTACAGGAATTTTTTTGCATAAAAGTAAAATTACATTCTTCCATTAAAATAATAATATTATAATTTTTCAGATGAAATCTCTTGAAGTAAAAATTTCTGCCAGAAAATGAGTAATCGGACATCCCACCTCACCTGACGATCACACATTTGTCAAACACGAGTAAAAAAAGTTAAAAAGTCTACTTAAATACTTAATTACATTGTTGAGTGTATGTAATTTATCTGATCATGAAAATTTTTTAAACCTGACGTCAACAGACGCACAACCAAGTATTTATTTCATTCGCAATGAGCAATCATCGTTACAAAATTTTTTAGAATCACAAGTGATAGCGGATCGTTATGCACCACCCACGCGGTGGGTCTGGGGCGACCATTCTAATGACGACATAAATCACCCTATGCCGCAGGATGCATTTATCATCATCGAGATACTAATTCACCTTTGCGTAACGTGGACCCCAAAAAATCTCGACACGCACGTTCGAGTGATCACGCAAACCACACACGGCGTAAATGCACAACTTTTCAAAACCCCGCGAGCGCAATGAGAAAACGATCATTAACCTCCTTTGTTGTTATTTTCTATTTTTACATTTTTGCAGCTTACTAACCATGCTTTTTCCCGCATCTCTGGACATATGGGCACACAAATACGCCGCAATATCTCAATTTGTGGGTAAACGAGTAAGTGATGCGAAATACCAAACTACGGGTTATTTTTCCAATTATTTTAACCCAAAAATATTCGAATCAACGATTCAGATATTCATTTTATTCCTGCATTTATTTCAATAATCAATTATCGATTAAATAATTCCAATAACAAAACATAATAATAGATTGAAATATGACCGATACTCTTGTTAATCCGCAAACCTCATTAAATAGATCATTAATTAGCTAATACTTATTAATAAAATAGTCATTATTGATGAATGAATGAAAGACTGGATAAAGTAAGATCTTTATCTAAGTTCATTACATCTACTTATTAGAACGGTGCCTGGTAATTAAAGATCATATTTTATACTATCCCACAACTACGACCCAGCGATAATGAAATTGATTATATTCTCAATCAACTTTTCAACTCAGTCGCTCGGTGGCAGGTCCGATAGACCTTACATGACTGTTCAGAAAATTCTCACTAATTTACGAACTCAATCACACAATTAAATCTTTTATACAAAGAGTCTGAAAAATAATGCAACTTTGATTAACGAATGCTTACAGGATCAAATTATAAGTTATTATTGATACTCCATAGTGTGTTCATAATAATTTTCTCTATAAAATTGTGATATATATATTTTATCAACTTTGTATTGTCATAAAAATAATGACGGCAATTAAAAGATGAATACCATCTTAAAATCACTATGTACAATAATAATTTTTCTCTTACTCATACATTATCAAAAGTGAAACCATCTATGCCAGTGATTTGTATCGTGAATGAATGAAAGCACCACACACGATCAAGTGATCTTTATCATCGATCACTTAAAAGAACGGTGCAACTCTGACATAAACTATAAAACATGGGCGTTAACTAGTCTCCATCAAGAGACCGCCCATTATACTTCTCGTTGGTCACCCAATAATCAAATGCAATGGTAATTTAAACACAGTCAACGGTAGGTTGTAGAAAATCGCATTATCATTATAAATATATTACCAATAAGAATAATGATAACGTAAGACTCTATCATTAAATATGAGCAAGGTATCCACAGCCACTGACAACCATCTACAGATTATTGTGCCGAGTTTTCTAAGCTTATCCATATGTTAATGATTTAATATTAAATTATCAAACATTCACTTTTGAGTAAAAAGCTAATACTCCATTTAATCATGAATTTATAATATTTTTATTTTATCTTTTTTTTTTTTGTCATATTGCATATTTTTGTCTCAATGGGTTGGCAATGATGATAATGATGATGAAAATAATGAATATTAAAATTTTTAATTGATAATTGAATATTGTAATCAGTTTGTAAATTGATACTTAATTGTTGGTAGATATATTGAAGATACATCTCTGTATGTGAAATATTTCTGTCTGAACTTATCATTTCTAGATGAAATATATTTGCTACTACATCTGAATGCTAGTGTATTTCAGCACTAGAACGTGATACATAATATCTCTTCAATTATTATCAGATTGTCGACGAGACGATATATGAGGATTCGAATTTCTCAGTACATAAATGTAACATACCAGTCTAATGGTTGATGAGAAATCTTCAGAATATAACAAATTTCAAAATGATGTCTTCATTAGTAAACTATTAGAGATTCTCTTTGAATTGTAAACTTTGCTACGTTTGTACTATCAAGCAAGCGTTAAACTAAACAGCTGATTAGCTTACATCACTCTTGTAGTGTTTCTTGATGATAGAACTCAAACATATTATTAAGGTCTTTTTTACTATTATTGATTTATAATTAACAAGAAAGATTGTTTCTTCTTTTTTGATACTGAAATTGATAAATAATTGCTCAGTGATTGATGAAGGTCTCATGAATAATAATAAATGTGATTTTATGTTGTTATTATTGCAACATAATTGTCAAAAAAATTGGTTAAAATGTTAAGGTAAACAATCCAATTAGTGATATTGTCCCAATGAAGTATACGTGTTTCTTCTCAAGTCACTAATTGGAGCATTTGCCTTATTAATATTTCACAAGGTTGATTGATACCTTTCTTCAATAAATTTTACTCTAAAAAAATTTGTTGACAATTATATTCCATCCTTTTGATACTTTTGTATACTATTTTAGCATTTTTTTTTACTTTTTTGACGTTGATCAATTTTTTTTGAAACAATGATCAATTAAGAGTAATTGTTAATTTCAAAATTGCTGTTAGTGAAAAATAGAGTGAATTGAATAAATGTTATTTTTTGTGTCTCTTCTGAGTCACGTACTGTATAAGTTGTTAAACAAAAAGGGTTGATATACCCATGGTAAGCTAATACTAGAAGATAATAACTCCTGTGGCGCCAAATCAGATATCCTTTTTGCTCGGCGTCCACTCAAGAATTGTCCTCCACTCGACCAACATTACTACAGGCTTTTGTGTTGGGACTGGCGCCATGAATTTTCACAGTCGACAAGAAAGCTTGATTGTATAGTATCGAATCTCAACTCTCCAACGACTAATTTTAATGCTTCTCACGAGACCTGTACTAAAATTGCCATTCGCATTCGATCGTAAAACTGAACGAAAAAAACCACTTTCATAATATATCGTAAAATAAAAATGAAAAATATTTAAATATTTAGGTAATAAATATTAAACAATTTACAATATTGATTGAACTGACGTGGTTATGAGTTGAAAGTGATTATCAGTAACACATCTTGGAATAATTTAAAAAAGAATGATGATAGGAGACGTAGAGAGACGAATAAGGGAAAAAGGAAAGAGTAGATATACAGAAGAAGGTGAGACGTAGAAGGTAGTAACAAGGCTGAAGAGTAATATGAAACCTGGTTTTGTGTTTCAGACGGGTGTACTTCGAGGAGAACATGGCGAGTTCTGGCTGGAACCAGTCAAGAACGAGCCAGGAGAAGGAAATGGTGCACGTACTGGGAAAGAAGTTGACTCTGAACGGTATGCGTATGCAACGAATGCGAGTGTGGCGTCTGGTAGACCTCACCTTGTTTTCCGACGTTCGACTGCTGTGGAGGTTGGCGCCGGACAGCGAAGACGTCGAAAGAAGAAGAAATACGAGCGAAACTGTGGAACACGTGGTAAGCCATCATGCAACGTATGTAAATGCTTAAAAAGAAAAAAAAAGTAAATAATTGAATAAAAGTCACGGTTCTTGTTATAATTAAATCATATCGTTTATCATGGCTTAAAAATAATGACTGAATGACGATTAATTCAATTCCATGCCTTGCAAGATTGGATATACAAAAAAATGACCAAATTTACTTAGTAGAGTTTACGTGTTATTAAAAACAATGAATATCTTGGTCGTGTGTTAATAACCACAAACGTTCGAAGCGATTCATCACGGTGGTGAATGAAATCTTAATTGTAGGCTCGGTAATCGGAGCAATCTACATTAATCATCGGGTGACCGAAGCGGAGTAGAGATCCCCCAGACAGGGCTGTGGCTTCATACTGGCTCTGGTTGATAAACGCAATTGTGGCTTGCATACCTATGAAAGAATTTCTAGTCTCAAGACTGATCATAGCCTGAACCTTCCGACATCTTCCAGACCCTCGGAGGTTGACTGAGACGCGTTTGGAATGGCAGACTCAGCCTGGTCTTGTGCAAGTTCAAGGTCGTGGACGTAGGAAGCATGGATGGCAGAGGTCAAAGAGATCCATTAGTCGTCCTAGACACGTCGAGGCACTTGTAGTTGCTGATACCTCTATGATGGCTTTCCATCAGGATGGTGATGTCGAGACATATCTACTTACGATTATGAATATGGTGTCTGCACTTTACCATGACCCAACTATCGGAAACTTCATTAATGTCGTCGTTGTCCGCATCATTCTTATGGAGGAGGATGACGCTGAGGTAATTTATTCATTATTTTTAATTATTTCGTATCATTAATAATGTAATTTAGCTAGTGATATTTCCAGCAAGGACTCAATATCACTGTGAATGCCGACAAGACACTTTACAACTTTTGCAAGTGGCAATTAAAGTTGAATCCTACTGATGATTCTCATCCCAATCATCATGACGTTGCAATATTGGTGACACGTGAAGACATATGTTCAAGAGCAAATACCCCTTGCAGTACTCTAGGAGTGGCTCATGTGGCTGGTATGTGCCAGCCTGATAAAAGCTGCAGCGTCAACGAGGACAATGGCATCACCTTGGCACATACTATAACTCATGAGCTTGGCCACAAGTAAGTTATGACTCAATTAATACGACACGAACCTATACAGCTTAACTGAATTATTATTATTATAAAATATTGTCAATTATTTCAATCATAAATTCACTGTTTACCTTTCTCTAATCTTTTATCATTTTTTTTGGTCCGCGATAATATTCTGCGAAGCTTTGGCATGTATCACGACACGGAAAAAATAGGTTGCAGCAAACGAGATGGTGATACATTACACGTAATGACGCCGACTTTTGAGGTGGATACAGTGGGTGTGGCTTGGTCTCGATGTTCACGCAGAGACATTACAAATTTCCTTGAGTATGTTGTTGACATTATTGCCCTTAATGATGTTGCTTGTAACAAAATCAATGATTTATTTTCCTTTGCTTAAGCCAAGGAAAGGGAGAATGTTTGGAAGACGAACCAGCAGATAATGATTACGCGTATCCGGATCTACCTCCTGGAGCGATGTACAATGCTGAGCACCAATGTCGACTACAATTCGGGATAAGAGAAGCTTCTGTTTGTTCACCGTTGCAAGAAGTGATTCTTTTTTTTGTTTGTTTTGTTATGGTTATCAACGTATATTTATTTTTCATTAAGTATTATATTACTGTTGAATAGATTTGCTCTAAACTCTGGTGTATTGTTGATGGATCATGTATTACTATGCTACATCCGGCAGCCCCAGGAACACATTGCGGTAAACATATGGTAATTATAACATTATAATTAGTATCATAATTTTTTAAAATATTTAAGTATTATAAAATTGATAATAATTTATTTATCAACTTTATCAAATTAACTTTTTAATAATCACGATGCAAGTTTAACAACTGTAAAAATAATTTCGTGAACTACCAATGTTTGAGTAATGCATTTTTAATTAATTCGCGAATATTAAATATTTATGAAAAATAATTACTATTATATTGCTTATTCAGTTGAATAAAGTCAATCAGAATTTACTTGTTACATTATGAATTAAAATTGTACTTCAAGCGATTTATAAAATTTTATATTATTTTTTTGTTAATTAAAATTAATCAAGTCAATGACTTCATTTTTCAAAGCACATTTAATTTAATTGAAAAATTTTATTCTATTAATAAATTTTAATGTTCTTATTTTTTTAATAATTAAATATATTTATTTTTGAATATTTAAAAAATTTAATCAAGAAAACAATTAAGAAACTACATCTAAATAGTAAACAGCCGTCAGTTAATTAAATTATGCAACAACATGTGACTGTTAGACTGTTTTTTTCCTGCAATTAGTGGTGTCAAAATCAGAAATGTGTACCAATAGTCGATCGTCCGAGCCAGATTGACGGTGGATGGGGTAAGTGGGGTAATTGGACAGAATGTTCGAGAACTTGTGGTGCGGGAGTGTCGATAATGGAACGGAAGTGTGACCATCCAAGGCCAGCACACGGCGGAAAGTTTTGCATCGGTGAGAGACGACGATACAAGATTTGCAACACTGATCCATGTCCTGAAGGTGTACCAAGTTTCCGGAGTATCCAATGTAGTAAATATGATAATACAGAATACAAGGGAAAAAATTATACCTGGTTACCATATTTTGACCAAAGTAAGTTATTTAATGTATCGAATATGTAAATATATGAAATATTTGTTAATTATTGACGACTGAATTATTCATAGATGAACCTTGCAAATTGTACTGCACTGACACTAACGAGAGTGTCATAGTTCCCTGGGGTGAAGCAGCTTTGGATGGTACACCTTGCAACGTTGGTACGCGTGATATGTGTATCGCTGGAATATGTAGAGTAAGTTCACTTATATGTACATATACCAATTATATTTCATGAAAATTTTCATGGCATACAACTTAATACTCTAAACTTTGGGGATAGAAAGTTGGCTGTGACTGGACTGTTGATTCTGAAGCTACGGAGGATCGTTGCGGTATTTGCCATGGTGATGGAACACAATGTGAGACAACGAGCGGAATTTATGACAAAAATGAAGGACCTGGTTATCGTGAAGTCGTCGTCATTCCTGCGGGTGCAAGAAATATCAAAATCGAGGAGCTTGGCAACAGCAAAAATTACATTGGCATTGGGCTAAGGAATTCCAACAAATACTTCCTTAATGGAAAACGGTGCGTGCGGTGTTTTGGAAGACACCTTGGGATTAGTATAATGGATCACACATTGGAGACTAATGTTTCCGTTTCGTTGGACAGGCAGATCACTTTAGCGGGAGAGTATGAAGTCGCGGGAACGCCTGCATTGTACGAACGTGATCATGAAAAAGAAAAGGTCAGGATTCCGGGGCCTATAAAGGAGGATATTGTTGTTTATGTACGTTTTCTTTAAATTTATCTTTTATCTAAATATGTATGTGAATAACTTCAGAAAAACAATGGAGCATCAGAGCATGAACAAGCTTGCATTATTCATAGATTATTTAAAATTTAACCCTACTATGCATGCAGTGATATTTCTGTCACATTTAACGATTTTAAATTTCAATAAAAAACTTTGTTTTGTAAATTCACATGAGAATAAATGTATATTATAATATAAATAGTGTAGTATTGTGTCGTGTTGGAGTTTAATAATATATTAGATCACATTTATTGATGAACAAGTCATGCATAGTAGAGTTGATAAATAATTTGATTAAACACTAAACATCTTGTTTTTTCAGTTGATCTATCGAGGACATTATCGCAACTTAGGACTTCATTATGAGTACACGATACCTAAAAGTGAACCAGACCGTGCTCCAGAATACTTTTGGATTCTTTCTGATTGGTCAATATGTACAGCAACTTGTGGAGGAGGTACACAAACATCGTATGCTGTTTGTCATGAAAGAAAAAATGGTATTGTAGAAGAGAGATTTTGTGATGAAAAAACGAAGCCTGAATTTGTATTACGTGAATGCAACAAGAATCCTTGCCCAGCTAGGTAGGCTTTTTAAGTTTAATAGATCAATTTATTTAGTCTTATAGACGAACAAAGAAGAAGAAAATGTTTTCACCCAAGTTTATTTTACCTCGTCATTCTGAAACCAAGTCTTCCATCTCGAATGTTTCCTACAAACTTTCTCGATCCTCCTGATATCCTTCTCTTTATATCTAAGAATACCTAACACCAACTTATCAAACTTCTATCCTGCGTGACTGGTGTATAAATTGAATAATTTTCTATACATATATATCCAGGTGGTGGGTTGGACCATGGCAAATGTGTCCAGTTATTTGTGGTGAGGGTGTGCGAAAGCGATCAGTGATGTGTGTATCATCAGCAAAAGATCCAGATGGATCAGAACTTGCTTTACCTGATCGAGAATGTGATAAGAATGCAAAGCCAGCTGAGGTTGGACCTTGTATAGACCTCCCACCATGTGGACCAACTTCCGAAATTCCTTTAATTATATACACTGATAACAAGGTCGCCGCTTTCTATAATATCAGTACTAATGATCAATCCAATCTGATCACTGTGGATGGCAACTCTACTGAAGAACCAGAGATTCTGGAATTTGATAATGTGGTTGATGAAAATCCTAATAATTCTGTGTATAATACCAAGTCAAAGTGGCTTGTATCAAAATGGAGCCACTGTATACATGGAAAAAGAATAAGGAAGGTTTCATGTTCATCTGCTGGTGATTGTAATTTAAAAAACAAGCCCGCTTCGTCAGAAGAATGTCGAGGAGAGAAGTGGGTCACTGGTAAATTCTTTAATTATTGTGTAAACTTTCATTGGCTTATTAATTTAAGGCTATTACCCACAATTTCAGAAAGTAATAAAACAATCAGTTCACTCCAACATCAAACATGTTGGAATTATGTTTTTCTAAGTTGTAATAAAATTATTACATTAATAATTGAAACAGTTGAAATGCATATTTTATTAGATGTTGAATTTAACTGTTGCTTCAATATTCAATAAAAATTTATTATTTTACTCAGAACTCTTTTATTCACCATAATTTTTATTATGAAAGTTAATAGAACATTTTTATTCATTACTTTTTCTTTGCTGCTATTAATTTTTTTAAAAAAAAAGTTATAAATTCGTATTTAATGATAAATTATTTAATGACTCCAATTATTTTTATCGATATTTTGAATGAATATTACAGGTAAATGGGGACCTTGCAATGCAACTTGTGCTTCAAAGTCGGGTGTGAAAAAAAGAGAAGTGATTTGTAAAGACAGATTGACGAATAAAGAGTCTGGAAACTGCATTCTTCACCGACGACCTCTTGATACCAGACGGTGTTTTTATCGTCGTCAGTGTACGGAGGAAAAACCCGGTAAGAAATATTTCAAAAAGAAAAAAATATACAAAATGCAAGTATACTAGTGTTATAATGAAATGTTTTCAATAAATTTTTCAGGTTGCAAAGATATTATCAAGCCCGTGAGTTTATGTATATCTTACAAACGTATGTGTGACTTATCATCAATTGTGCGAGAAAAATGCTGCGCCACATGCTTTAAAAGGCGGCGTCATGTTCGACACAATCGGCGACATAATTTTGGCGACTAACAATAGAGCATTGACGTCAAATTGATATTATCGAAACATGGAAATGTTGAATGTGATGGATAAAAGATATGCCCTAAGGGTGCTGAATATCACCAACAAAATGCGTTGAATAATATTGTAAACATTCAATAGTCAACACTTTAGTATATGAATTGGCTCAATATTCTGATAATATCTGTCCATTAATTTCGAGTATCTTGTTTGGAAAATACACAAATCAACGAGCAGTTAATTTTGCCATGCTTAAAACAATGTTCGAAAGTTCTAATAGTTCATCTACCTAGAAAATATCGATTATCCAATTATTCAATCAAATTTACATAAGAAATAACACATATTAGCTCAAACTATTACTTATTTGATCATTTGTATTGAAAAAAATTTTTAATAATTATATTCCTTTTCTAAAAAATGTATCGATATCTAATATCTGCTAGACAACAGTATTCATTCAGAATCTAATCTTTGTATAATTAATGTCAAATTAAATATAACTTTAAAATATGTAAGATACACAATATTGTAACAAATTACTGACAACAATGTATTTTGCATACGGAATGACCTTCGACTCGATAAAAACTCTTAACGTACAAATAATGCATCAAAAGCGAATAAGTAAGTAATGACTATCATATCGAACTAATGCTTTCATATTAAGCAATTTCTAACATGGCTATTCTATTTAGAATTTTTATTGAGCCATCATGGCTTGTTCATTAATGATGTAATCTAATTTTGGCACCTGTGCCAAACTCAATTTCTTCTGAGCTGATCAGTAAAATCAAGGGTCATTCGATAATGTTAAAACGAAGAAAATTTACAGTAACGTATTATTACGTCATCAACTACGTCTGCAGTAAACACTTGCCAACTATGTTGAAAACCATTTTCTCAATTTATAAATGCGTAAATAGCTCGATAAAAATTTTCTAGCTGTTGTCTACTGCGACTCAAAATTAACTTAGCTAATAAATAGTTATAGTCATTATTTAACCAACATCACAGCCATAATTGTTAAAATAATATACATGATATTTTTTATACATTATTTTTTCTACTCAATTTACTATTAAAACAATTTAATGAAAGATATGGCGTAAGAAAATAACAGTGATAAAATTGTGATTTCATTCTCGTAAGTGATATGGTTATTGTTTTATTTATGTGTAAACTTATTCATTAATTGAATTTCTCACAATCGAATTGCTTCTACTGCATAATGTACTTATATATTTTTGCTAGCTGTATTTGATAAAAGAATTATAATGTTAATAGAATTTTTTACTGACCTCTCATAACAATCAATGATGATGAATAAAAAAAATTTACTTTTTCAATAATAACCATTTTTCTTATTCTTATTATCCATCTATAATTCAATGACAAATTGAAAAGAAAAAACTCAACTTCATAAAATCAATCCAGCTGCTGCCTTAATCCATTTACATTTAAACGAATGTTTCCTGTTTAACATTGACCTCAATTTCCATGACAAATCATTGCTTACAAATGTTAACCAAGGCCTTAGTTGTATTTGGTATATAAATCTATTTTGTTTATGATTTTATTTTATTTAGAATAATTTTAAATGTTAATAAACCTTCATTATAATATTTATCGTTCAACATGAAATGAAAGATGTAAAAGATTATTTTATAAGCTGAGTATGCATGTCTATATACTATCTAACTCAGCAACTTCTTTCATACGTGTTTGATATGAAACGTTCATGCGTCACGTTTTCGAATAGATAATAAGCAACAAACTGTTCGCAATATTCTGAATTTTTGTTTCAACGTTTATTGTTACACCTAAGTAGTACAAGTAATCCTCAATTTTTATTTAATTATTGAATGTTATTTTTTTTATATTCACATGTAGTGATAAAATTCATCATAAAAATCATTGCAACTACCTTTTATAAGCAATAAATCATAAAAAAAAATCGTATAAATCATTTACTAAAACTTATAGTATTATTTAAAAATGTAAATAGTCTTTGTTATTTTGATAAACTTATCTCATGGTCGACTGGATTTAACAGATCCAAATTTACTGTATCGTTACAGTAGCAGGCATAGCGATTGAGATAATCCAAATGCATCGTCTCGCTTGTTCTGCCAGTCAGTTACATTTAAACTTCAGAGCATAAGACATCATTCAGCACTGGTGAAAGCTAAATTTATTATCTGTGCAGTTTGTTCAACTTTACTTGAAATTTTAACTCAAACAAATTCTAATAGTTATTTCAAAATTCTGTCGCAAGTTATATTGTAAATATGGAAGAAGCAATAAAAAATGAAAATACGTGGCTAGAAGATATATCAAGAGGTGTGATTCAAAATCAATATATCATTGGTGATATTATTGGCAGGTGTGTATGGGAAAATTTGCCGTGAGCGTATTTTGTATTTATCGATTACAGTGTTTGTTTTCTTTGATTATATCAACTGAATATTGTCACAAGTTTAAAGCTTCGAAAATTTGATTGCAGAGGCTCAACTTCTACGATACACTATTGTTTACACAAAGGGAGAAAAAAGTATGCATGTAAAATAGTTCCAAAGGTAAATAAAAAATAAAAGCAACAAGAAAAAAAATTAAATGCTATTAACAAATATATACTTCTAGACAAAATTGAATAAATTTGAAACTCTAACGAGGATCCATGCAATGTTGTCGTTGCAACATGAAAACATTGTGAGTATAAGTGCAATAAAAATTTTCAAAAACATCATGTTATTATAAACTTTCAAGAGATTAGAATAAATTCTCAAGCTAAGAGAGCATTGACACAATTTCCTAGTAATTTTAATAATTAAAAGTAGTTAACTTGAAAACAAGACAACATCGTTATAGACAATTTTAAGTGGTATGTTTGTATAGGTAGCTGTAAGAGAAGCGTATGATGATGCACTTCGAGTGTACATAATAGAAGATCTGGCGTTGGGTGGCGAACTTCTCGAGAGGTTGGCCTCTTGTGGAGGATATTCTGAGAAGGACGCGGCTAAAGCGATTCAAGATGCTGCAGCAGCTCTAGAGGTATTTTAACAGATTTATCATTCCATTTAAAGTTAGAGATAGATAAAAATCAATAAATCGATTGACGAACATTATCATAAGTTTGTTCATCACGATACAATATCGAGTATTTTTAAATTCAAATACAAATTAAAGCTGATGACAAGTAGTTAGAAATTTACATAAAAATCATATTTATTTATTTTGTTCTTATAGTATATTCATGATAGAGGAATAGTTCATGGGAATTTGAGGCCTGAAAAATTACTTTATGCTCAAGAGAGCAAAGAGTCAAGATTATTATTGGCTGATATTGGCTCAGCAACACCTTCAATGAACTCCTACAAAATTTTGTATTGTGGTTAGTAAAGAGTAGAACTTTTTGAATCTTTCAATACAGATAAATATCTATCGTTTATGATTGGATTAGTCACTTGACAAATAACTGATGATTTACTATGACTAATATACATAAAAAACAAATAACACAAAAGTTTATTCATGAATAAATAAGACAGTTATTTTATATATGTAAAAAATATGTGCATACACCACTGTATGAAAATACTTTACATTTCTAGCACCGGAAGTGATAGCTACGGGAAAAGCTACATCAGCATCAGACATATGGAGTCTTGGCATCGTTTTATACATTATGTATGTGTTTATTAATTTTATTTATATTGATTCAGAGTTAGTCCTGTCATACTTTGTACTTTGATAGGATATGTGGATAAAAAATAAATTTAACAAATAATGTTTTCAGACTTTGTGGCTTCGAACCTTTTCGGAATGTTGAAGATATGTTTCCAGAAATTTATTGGAATGATAAAACTGAGGAAGCGAAAAATCTAACAGCTTGGGTAAATAAAAATAATTAAAATAAATTTTTTCTACAGTACTATAAAAATTTTTTATCTTTTATTTTTATTGCATAGCTTATGCAAGAACGTTCAACGGACAGACCAACTGCTCGTAAACTTCTTGAAAATTCATGGGTACGTGGTGAAAAAACTGCACTGCATTCCATGAAAAAAACAGTTCAACATTTACGCGAATTTAATGCTCGAAGAAAATTTAAGGTATGTGATTTTTTACAATAAAAAATAAATGAATAAGAAGAAATTTTCTCCACAGGCAGCAACACTTGCAGTACAAGCAACACATCGGGCCATTGCTTTATCAAGTTATCATGATCCAGCTGTTTTATCAACTATTTAATTTTAATTCTTATTTTAGTATTTTTTTTTATTAAATTTTATAAAATAAAGGAAAAAATTGTTTTGATACTTATAACAAATTCTACTTTACCTAGAGATAATAATAAAAGTTAAATAAAATACATACTATTGGTCACTAGTAAGTAGTAACAGTCTTTTAACGGCAGACAGTAAACGATCTGCTGCTTTTTTTCTTCTTTATCACATGTGGATGTATGTCTACGATGATTCAAAAATTATCTTGCATAGATTGGTACGTTTTTAAACAGTATCAATCAGCTCTCGATAACATGATAGCAAGCATTGATAAAATATTCTTGCATCTTTTTCCTGTAAACAGCTGCTCTTCACGTATATGAATCAGGTAGGAAATATGCAGTTAGCGGTTGAACGAATAATGAATTTTTGGCCTTATAATAACAAACTACATGTATTGCATATTACACATCTAAGGCGATTACAGGTGATATTAAATTGATTGCTTTTTTCTGAAACGCTTGTTTTCCACTTTTAATATCTACTATCTATTGCTTTATCTCTCATTATTTATATTTAAATTCAGTTCTCGGCGTTACATCGATACCTGTCACTTCCAACTCTTATTGAGAGAAAAAAAATAATAAAATTTTTCACTGCAAAAAGATACTTCAGAAACATCTAGAAATACTTTTAAAAAAATGTTTCAATAAAGTATCTGAAATATGCGATGAACCAGATCAATATCGTCTATAAATAAAAATAACGAAAGATATTCGAAATGTTAATAATAGAATTCATTCAATAATTGACTAAAAATATTCATTTGTAAAAAATGTTAACTAGTTCAGAATTCGTGTCAAGATGAAATAGAAAATGAATATATCCAGAAAAAGACATAAATATAAATAACGAATGAGATATTCTGTAAATCCTTGGGGGCTTATTCAGAGTGATGACCAATCGAAAACTAATTCCACGAATGTAATCCAAAATCAAAAATTCCATACCAACCTACAAAATAAAATCAATAAAATCCTACAACAATGAAAATGGACTAAAACACGAGATAAACAATAGTGAAAAGACGAGATATATATCTGGAACAGGTAGCGTCATTGTGACGTAAGTAACCGGTAACGATGTCTCCAAGACACGTTAAATTACTGAGAGCAAGTAATTACAGAATTGCAGCATCATTTTACGAGGCCTTAACTTTAATTTAATTCAAACAATTGTAGTTAATATCTAAAAGAGTATTTTATGATGAAATAAAAGCGTTATAGTATAAGGAAAATCAAAAACCAGGTCTGATCACAGCATATCTACTCTAGCGTATTAGCGTGATGAAGGTCGAAATATTAAAGAAGTACACAGAGATCCAATAATAGAGAGAAAACAGGTCGCCACTAAGACTCGAAGGTACAGAAAAAGAATCTTTTCTCCAGCCTATGATTATGAGTGAAAGTAAGGAAGAGCAGGGGTTGCCTGTACTAATGTCAAAAGCTGCCAGGGGCTGGACTATAACAAGAGAAAGAACGTTACAGGACTTGCGCAATAGTATCATTGCTTCTGCGTTAACCATGAAAGTGGAAGCTTTACCGATATCACTGTCAGGCTTGTCGCAACTCCCGGAGTCGAGTGATCCCGTCCTACCATGAGATTAGATTCTGGTCATGAAAGTCTCGACGCACCCTCGAGTGACGCGCGTCCGATCCTCGAGTCCGCTTTTTGCCTTTAGCGCGAATTTTCGGGTGATTATATTTTGCTCAACTCAACGCTAACACAATTGTTAATTTATTCACTTAAATAGTTAATCTAATAGCAACTTATATAGCTCAATATTTACGTAAATAAATAATTATCAAGCGAGTGGCGGATATAAAATAATATTTTACTTTTTACGATACAAGAAAATAAATCAGGTATTGTAAATAATAATCATAAATATTTTTTATTTGTTTACATTGGAGTTGTCAATTAATTCACGATTTAAACTTCACAAAGCATGGCTTTGTTAAATATATATTGTGGTTATTAAGGATATATCAATCATCGAATGGAATGTCTTCTTGCGTAAATTGTACCTGTATTGGTATATAAGCTATTGAAAACGTCGATTTATATTGTCATCCTACCTATCATTTTCTCGGTTCAATTTATATCGGTTTATTAAACTGTCAGTTAAAAGAAGACATAAGATTTAATTTTTTTTTTGTTATCTTGTTAATGTTAAAAAAAATTAAGTCAAACACGATACATGTAGATAGTATATCTTTTTATTTAACGCTGTTTCTTTATGAATTTTTCTTTCAAACTTGTCTCAACTTTTTAAAACTAATACGATCATTTTATTTTCTTTAAGCCAGAAAACTTATCTTGAAAAAAAGAAATAAAATTGCAATTGTATTAAAGTATATTAATTTATATCAGTCAAAAGCACTTGTGTGATAAAGTACCTGTTGCAAGTTTCACGAAACTCATCAGTCGAAAATTATAGTAATCAAGTAGTAAAGTTATTGTTAAATATATGCAGATTAAGTAAAAATACTCAAAGTATTTTTATATTACATGGAAATTCAGACAATCATATTTCTTCGGCAGCTTTAAGCTACACAACCGTTGTTATGCACAGTCCAAAGATGCAAAAGTCCGGTGAGTTATTTAAGTCTTTTCCAATCTTTTTCATTATTTTATTTTATATTAAACAACTATTTGGAAAGTAAAAAATTTATCTACTAAAACTAAAAGTTAAAAATGTTTTAATGAAATCTAAAAATCACTATTTTGGATTTTGAATGATATTGAAAATTCATTACTAAAGATTTTACAAATGATACAAAATTCTAGTGAGAGTGAACGATTCACAAATACTAATGATGTCAGAAAGAGCTCATCGTGATCACTCTCTTGCTGGCTATTTACATAAACGAACCGCTGACTTAACTAAATGGCAACTTCGATGGTTTGTTCTATATCAGGTAAGACTTGTTTATTTACCAACATGATGAATGACATCAATTTATTAATCAAATTGTGGCTGAATTAATGGAAAATGATGATGTTTAATATTACAGAATTTATTATTTTATTACGAAAATGAATCATACACTCGGCCTAGTGGCATCGTTTTACTTGAGGGTTGTTATTGCGATCGACTGATACCAACTCGAGGGAAAGAGTCGGAAAAGCAGGTAAGATGATTAATGAGTCTGTTTATAATTTACAAGAATATAATAGAATAAAATATGAGATAAATGGTTATAAGAAAAAGATATAGCCAATTAAATTATTTGTTGTACTTTATTGTCACAACATCAATGACAAAAGGTTGATCAACTGAATTACGATCAATTAATACCCCTGCATGATCCTACCATTATATGTAGAAATGAGAAAGCTGAAAATTTATTTAAATTAAAGCATAGCAATGGAATATTTATACCTATCAATATCGGTTGATAATCTATATTTCATCTGTTCACTATTGACGTTGACTTTTATAAAAAAAAAAATAACGCGTTAACTCTAGTTATTTATTGAAGATCATTTTTTTCATCGTGCCAGCTTTGTGGAAACATTAAAATATATTTTAATAAAATAAATTGATTGATATAATACATTAGTTTAATTTGGTCATATATCAATTTAATTGATTTTTGTTTATTTTTGTTGTTTAAATTTAAAAAGAAAAATACGATAAGGATGATTTTTCCTATTTGGTTTGTGATGTTGAACAGAAAAGATAATCATTACCATTTATCTCATTATATCTCAATCGTAATTTTTTTTTTTTTTTTGCTTTAAAGATATATCTGTATATCAACACGAACAGATAATTAATATCATCCAATTTTAAAGGAATTTATGCAAAAAAACGTAACTAATTAATTATATATTTATAATATTCTTAAAAATAACAGAAAAGTAATTAAATTTTAAGCTTAATAATTTTACTTCAATTTAATTATGATGCTTCGAAAATATGTCTTTATGCAAAGAAAGTTTGTTCAACATGCAAATTTTTTTTCGAATGAAAAATAATCAACTTTGTGAATGCATAGTATTACAAAGAATAAAAGAAGCTATGCCAGAGGCTTTTCTTCGTTCATCATGATGAAAAAATACATGGCAGTGGAATTAAAAAAGAATTACATTTAAAATTGTCGTCCAACTGCAAATGTTGCTCTATGAAAATGATTATTAAAACAATAATTTAATTAAACGAACCAAAAATAAAAAAATAAAGAATATTTGCAATTTTAATGTATTTCCATTATATTCTATATTTACTCTAATTAAAGACGTTTCAATTTTTGTCCAACTCTGTACATCACAAATGTACCGCATAATTAAGTCATCAAACATTACTCTATTGAATACCCGACGAATTGTAATTAATGATTATTTTAACAGGACTATGTCCAGATGAAACTTTCAGCTCAATGATCGCATAACATACTAGAGTATACAGAAGTTAATCATTATAACTCATTGTTTACTAAATTCAAAAATAAAATTTTCATCATATGGAAGTGGGTCAAATCAATAGTTATCCGTTTTTAATAAATGATTATACTTTATTTTTTATGAGAACCTTTTTTTGTTTACGCTAAAAATATTTATTCAGAAAATAGACGGTAGAACAAGCAGTACACCGCCAAGCTATTTTCTTTATTTATTTAACTTTTGTTGACAATACATTTCGAATATTTAGATATAGTCAGTCAACATTTATGTTATTCATTATTTAGAATATTTATTTATCTATTTATAATACCGCTCTTCATGACTATTATTTATTATCCAATTCCATATCGTTGATTGTTATTATTTTATTTCATTAAAAAAAACCATAAATGATTAATTATCTATAAAGTACTTCATGCTGAAAAAATGATTGCGTCTTTCTTTATCGGCAAACCAGATGCGAATTATTAATAAAGAAAGTTTAATAATGCAAGGGGAACAGAGGCTGAATGTCGTTGATGATAAACGATTTTACGGATGAAAAGGTCTTGCATCTGGCGGGGTCAAGGCATCCGACTTGTAACGGCTGACCAATGCATCGGTCAACTACTAGGGTCCGACCAGGACGAGCTATTTTCACACGATCGATCATTACTCTCCGTTAGTTTCGCCAATATACTCTTTCAAGTCACACTGATTTGTCATTAGATTATGACTACTTGCATCATTCCTATTATCGATTTTACTGACGTCAATTGAGTCTCCCAAAAGGTTTTCCTATAAAATGGTAATTTCCGCAATCGATCCACAAGTGAAATTGAGGTGATCAAGTTCAAATTTTTTGCTCAGTTCACAACACTTTTTTATTTATACTTCACACTAATACCAATTATCATATTTTCTGGTACCTTTATTTAGATCTTTCTTATTTTACCGTTAACTTGTAAGTTGAAAATCGATGAATAAAAACTTTTCATTCTTACATGATACAAATAAATATTTTTAACGATGTAATATAAAACTTTCATCTTATATGTGATACTTCGTCGATTTACTCTTCCCCAGAGCACGATTTCATTAAGTTATATTTTCCATCACGATTTTATGTATGAAACTGATGTAAATATGAGATCCCTGAGATAGAATATGAAAAAAGTATTTAGATTTTTTTTCGTCTGAAAATATTCCAACTGCATTGCAATAGTGGATTGTTTACCGAGGGTGAAAAGTAGTCAATCTAGACATGAGTGGAGTTGATTGGCCTAGGGTAAAATGAAATGAGAGCAACTAATTTCATTTACGTAATTTTTTTGTCACTCACTAGACCATGACTGTTCTAAACATTAATTAATTACTTTAGCATGAATCATTTGTCAACAGTTATCATCATATATAGAGTAGTTTCAATATTTTATTCTTCTATTTTCTGGAGTTTTTTACTTCTTGATGAATTTTTCTTACACTGAAAAAAAGCCTCCATTTATCCAAGATGATGAAGACCGTATATATTAAGGCATACATTTTCCTCAAGTATAAAGCACTAGTTACTACATAACAGAGTACTTGTGTGAGTCAAAAATTCTTGATGTACGTCAACATGAAATAAACTTTCTCACAAAGCTTAAACATACTATCAAAACTTGAAAGCTCTCACATGCTTATTCTACTGACGTAGATGTACTTCAAAGTACACAATAGATAAATATCAACAAGTTTTATGATCCCTACCGCACGAAATAGAAATGAAATTAATTGACTGCATGAAAAAAAAATTTCTATCAAATTACCGAATAGAAATGTTCATTAAATAACAATTTTTTATTTTTTTACAACTGACATAAAAAACAATTTTATCGTAGCTAACATGTATATAGTTTTTTATAAATATTTATTTGTTTCATTTGTTATTGATTTTATACGGCAACTAACGAAAAAACAGAGAAAGAGAATGTATGAAATGTATGAGCAATGAATAACAGGGCATGCAGGAATCCACTGAGAAATATGCGGGATTCAAAAAGGGAGGATGGTGTGTACTATCTGCCTGTTGCTTTAATAGCACACGCTGTGCGCATATATCTCATGAGCATGGCTGTTATTCAAATGACATTGTGAGTGGCCCTAATTCCCTGGGAACTAGTTATTCCTTGATTTTTCAAGTCACCCAACAAATATCGAAAAATTTTTAAATATTTATTCATGGCTAGATAAAAAAAAAATGATAAAAAATCCTAAATTGAACTTAAATAAAAAAATTTCTGAATCGATTTTTTTTATAATACATTATCGAAGGATTAAATATTAAAATACATTACTTTTAATTATTTCCGTTTTTATTCATAAAATAAAATCGGATCTGAGTCTTTTTTTCTGTAGTAATCCCGATAACTTATTGCAGCACTATAATGTCGGTGACACTAAGACGTTCTAATTTTTTCTTCTTATCTTGCTCCATTTTTTTCAAACTATTTTTCACATTATAGAATTTATTTTGTTTCTAGCTTCCACTTGCCCTTCTCTCATGCAACATGCATCAGTTTTCTTTTTCCTGACAAAACCAAAACAAATATTATTATCTAAGACATAAACCTCGCCGGAAATTGATGCTAGAAGCAATAGATCTTGCGAAAAGAAGAGAAAAGTACATAGTATTAAATCTTCACAGAGGTTGTATAGCGTTAGTTCAAACATTTGCCTTGTCTCTACTTCTTTCTGCATCGTTGCTTAACCAGATCAACTCTTCTCCGCAATTTCCTGTCTTTTTTGGCGTCGATTAAATTTATAAATTTAGTAATGTGAGATCGTAAAGGTTTACTTATCATTTTTTTACTCTTAAAAAAAAAAAAGAAAAACAAAATGGCATTTTATAATTCAACCAATTAATTCAAATCATAAACAAGTACGGGAATTTTTTTAACACAGGTATAAATAATTTCAATTACCTTTTATCATGTTGGTGATGAAAAAGGATTTTTTTTTCAGTGAAGAAATTTTGATGGATATTTTTTTTATTTATTTTACAACCGCTGAGTTTCAAAAAAAAATAATTTGAACATAAAGTGTCATCTGTTTGAAGAGAAGTTTGAAATTTCACATTATTTTTTGGTCACAACTATAAATTGTTAACTCTGAGTTCAAAAATAAATATATTTTGTCACTCTTGAATTTCTCTATCCGTGGGAATTTTATTTAATTTTTAATTTCATTGAATTTCACTCTGAAACGAAGAATAATTGACGTGCCAAAGTAATCTATCGTTCCAAATGAAAGAGATAATTTTAATCTACCAATAAATTTCCATTAATAGAACATATTCAACAAATAAATTTTTCTATTAATTTTAAACTCCAATTCTAGGGACCCATATTTGATAAATGTGAGGTCGTAATTATGATTTCCAACTTTTAATTTAATCTATTACTTCCATTCAGTTAGATTTATTCCAATTTAATAGATTCTTTACTGCCCTTTTATTTATACGCAATTCTATTTTATAACTTCACTTTTACTCATGATAGAGACATATATTCAAGTGATGCAATTCATCATTTAAAGTGAGTTTCAAAGTAACAATAATAAAATCCAACCGATACAGTCAACATCGTATCACCAATGACATACTTACATGACTATGCCTGCAACACTTCACGTATTTCCACCGATTAAGAGGTAGACATAGTAAAGCTCGAATTATTCAATATTAGCTTTCTAGTTTCAATCCTGTATTGAACAATACTATATCGGCGTCATTATCAAATCCAAAATCTCAGCTACTATATGTGATTGCAAATAATTATATTTTTTGCTCTAAATAAATCCATCGAGAGTTGCAATGGTTTTATTGATTAGTACATTAATAAAGTAACTTATTTAATTATTTACAAACTCATCGATAGTTTATCAATCGAACTCAGTCATTCTTGATAACAAAATACAAAAGTAAAGTTAATTTGGCCCCTAGCTGAATATTCTTTAAAACTTAAAACGATACTGAGGAGACCATAAAGTTTTAAATAACTCAAAGTATTGCATCGGGGAAAGAACTTTGTTAAAGCAATCGTCGACGTATATTTTTTTCAATCTGTAGTAATAAATAATAGTTTGAAGGGTAATTGAAAAAAATTATCCCCCTGTTTACTTTGTTTTAGAAAAGAAGGAAAGAAGAGAAAAATTAAATAAAAAAAGAAATGAAACCTAGAACAGTTTGACTGCAAAATCAAGTAATACAATTGATTTAAATATTTCAAGTGTTTTAAGTTAATAAGAATACAATATCATATGTACAGGGAAAGATCTTAGCATGACCTTGGCCTTTTAACCTGAACCTATGAGGTGGATGGAATGAATAATAGAACTTGAGAGTCCTAAATTTTTTTTTTACAATGTAATGAACACCATTTAATATAACGCAGGTCATAAAAAATATCTTAATTATATAGAATTTATTAAATATTTCATTCCTCATTATAATTTTTATAATGGAAGTACTGTGTTAAAATTTGAATGGAATTCATTCCCAGTGGAATTATTAATTTAACATTTTTTGTTTTAGTAAAGGATAAATTAACAATATCTGTCACATAAAATAATCGTAAATAATAAATTCAATTTAAAATGCATTTTATGTGGCAAAACGTAATTTTCAATTTCGTAAAAGGTTAATGCATAAAATTAAATTTTATTTGTATGTTGCAATTACCATTTTTCACAACAACTACATATTGATTAGCCATGAAGTGCACGGTTCAAAAACTGTTCTATGCATATTCCATGCGAGAACTCTATTGTGAAAAGCTAGAAAAGGTCGTAATCCTTTATGTAATGGTCGGAAGCGTCTTGTTCCATATCCATTTGCATTTGCAAACTATGGAAAGTGATGGCTCAACGAGCAAGTGCTGGAAAGTTTTTGATGCAAAATTCACGTTTTACTTAACAGTAACTATATATACATAAAACTTTGCATATTGTATTTTACTCCTTCCTTGATGACAATGTAAAAATAAAAGAAAATCATTCCCTAAGGATAAAAATAGTAAGAAGCTGTTTAAGATGTCTGTTAAAGCTTCTAAATTATTCGATAATGAAGTCAATTGAACTTTATTGAATTTAAATTGATTGATATATCTTTTTTGTTCCAGTATTGTTTTGCTATCTCTTATCGACGTGAAAATCAGCGCCAGTATGAGCTAAAAGCACCCACAGAAACTGATTGTAAAACATGGATTGAAGCAATAAGGGAAGCCAGGTCAGTACATAAAATAATTATGATTCCAACACTAAAAGTATTGTTAAACTAATCTGTAATAAAATAAACCACTTTTTATCTCACATAATTTCGTAAAGTTTTTTTAAGTAACTCGATAAAAGTATCAAGAAAATTATGGTATCTAACTTTGATAAACTTGCTCTTTCATACTGTATACCAAGTTATATGGCGACATGTAATAATCAAGACAAGAATGTTGTTGAAATACTTCATAAACTGCAGTGAATATTTCAAATGTCTTAGACCATCATTTTACTTCTGCATTGAGAGAGTTGTATTACTTACATAGCTTCGAACTTTTATTATTTTATGTACAATCAAACTTTTAAAAAAATTGTTTATTTCTTACATAAATATTTATATGTTCTACAGTTGGTATTAACCTTGCAAAGTAACCTCAAGCTAATTAACGCGCTGATGTGAATGTTTCTCTAATGCCTTTGTGCATTTTAGTAAAGTTCATCTTGTACTAATGATGCTCATGATGTTATTTGGTGGTTGGCTTGTCTCTTGATTCCAAGATTCTAGAATATTCAAGGGAATGCCCTTGTACGTAATCCAAGCGGATAAATCTATGCTAAAATACTAATTAATGCATATTTAAAATATGAATAAACATAAATCTGATATGTGTTTAATGAATAATTGATAAAATTCAAGTTGTTGATAACCTAATCAAAATGTACCCATGATAACGTGCGTAATATACAAGTCAAAATACAACAAATTAAATGAATATTCTAGAGATAGAAATCTTTCCTTAAAACTTTATTAATATATACAACCTTGAAACATTATATCAGCAGTAACGTTATCCTCCAATCAACTGAACAGTTCAATATTATTTCTGCACTTTGCTGCATTGAAACTTCTGAATTTAATTGCTGTTTCAAAAACAAATAGTTTTCAAACTATAATGATTCAATCAATAATCGTCATAATTCATTTATTCAGTATTTTTCACTTCAATAACTGTAACGGATTATTTTATTCTCAATTAATCAAATTTCTGATGTCAAAGAAAATAAATGATTCAAGATAGCATTAAAGTAAGTTTAGAGATTTATAAATATTATTCTCTAAATGGAAGGGTGAAAAGTAGGTAATGCTGGTGAGAACTCATTTATTCCAAGAAAATATAAATACCAACAACAATTATAATATTATGTTTTCATTTTAGTATTATAAATATTCTAAAATAATATTTATTCTATTTTGTCTAAATTATTGTCATTCTTTTGGTCTATAATAAGATTCACGTACATTTTATATCATATTCCACATTCATATTCTACTAAATATTTATGCAATCACGGAAAAGAGTAGAAAAAATGAATAAATAATTTCTTGTCGCTGATTCTATTTAAATTTGAATGTCAATAATGGTTATGGGATTTTATATTTTCTTTTTTTCTATTGAAAAGTTCAATCTTCTACAGTTACTCATTTTGTCCTTTTATTAAAATAGCCGAGATAATTTTGGATTGAATAATTATTCATTCCTTTTGAAATGAAAATATTCAAATGATGGTAGTGGTAATTACACACCTTGTTAATCATTGACTAGTTGAATAAATTAATGGCTAAATTATCGAAAATCGATTTTCCTTAGATTTAATTTACATTCGTTTTCCCAGCTTATTAATGACTAATATTCTCAGTGTGTAATTCATGCAATGCTAATTATAACACTTTTAGTACATATTGAATAATAATTTAAATATAGAAATTAAATTTTAATGATGTATTTACTTTGCTATTTGATAATAGAACATTCCTATATATCATGTCTATTATTTCATGCTTTCATGAGTTGATGCCAATTAACTGTCTGAAATCAGTAAAATGAGATTTCTAAGTATTTTAAAATAATGAGAATTTAATTAAGTCTCAAAATTGGGAAGAGACTCATGATATTTTTCTGCATATTTTCTTCTCTCATACATTAAAACATGACTCAACACTTGAATATTTATTTCATCTCAAAAATAACAAATTAAATTTTTTTGTTGCTCCAGCTTCAACAAGCTCCTACTACAGAAGGAAGAACTTGAACAGAAACACTTGCACCTGTTGCAAATAGTTGAGAGTGAAAAAACTGCCAAGTGGCAATACACACAACAATGCGAAGACCTTGCTTCAGAAATAAAAAAATTACGAGCAGAAGTATGTGACCTTTAGTCGAAATCAACCTGTTGATGGGAAATATTTGATGTTCTATATATAGATAACTTATTTAAACTATTTTCTTTTGACAGTTGTGTGCTTTGAAACGAGAGCTGCGACCAAATCCAATACCTTTCGTTTTTCCTGCTCGTGGAGCATTACAGAGAACTTTATCTCATAGCACTGGATGCGATATGAACTCTACGGGAGCTTATTCATCTTTTAACACGGGATATAGATCACATCTACATGGATCCAATATAATGATGGAGGGTCTTAGAGGAATCGCCGAAGGATCTGCTGATATAGAAAAAATAAAAAAAGTTCAAAGCTTTTTCCGGGGCTGGCTGTGTCGACGACGATGGAAACAGATTGTAGAACAGTATATCAAAAGTCCACATGCTGAAAGCATGCGCAAACGAAATAGGTAATAGTGTAAATCTGTTTAAACAATTTAAATACTTCTATCATTCTAGATTATTCATGATATATCTCTTTCCGGAATAATACAAAAATATACTTTATTAAGAGATTATATAAATTTAGTTATGCAAATAAATTAATTTTATCTGAAAAGTTCGAGTTTACTCAAATAACTGAAGTAATTAAAGGAAAAAATTTTTAGTTTAACAAAAGTGATAGGGTAAATTTGTATAACAACTCCTGAATTATAACTACTAATGATTTCATACGAATAATTAATTAGTATACTAATAGTACTATTTCTCTTCTTGGAAATGAAGATGAATCAATACTCTAATAGTGATTCATCACTTTTTTTTCATAGAAGAAAATAAATAATACTTTATGCTCACATTAATATTGTGTCGTAGAAATTGAAAGTTGATGATAAATTAATAATAATTAAATAAGTAATCGTTTCAGATATGTCAAGTGTGTTAAATTTTACACAAAATTTATAATAAAAAATAAGTTTTTTATTAACGTTGTTTGAACAATAGAAAGGACAATTGAAAAATATATCTACCTAAAAAATCACTAAATTTAGAGTGAGTGATTTAAAATTGTAATTATGGAATAGATATAGATTTACATGACGTTATTTACTGTAAGTTCTTAGTATTTCTGTCACACGGTAGGTATTGTGATAAACAAATATACTGAAATGGAAAATTTTAGTTTAGTTTTCAGCGAGTTCCATTTAATTAATAAATAGTCCTTCCAATGTATTCAATTATTATAAATATTAGAATTTAATTAATTAAATTAAAACCAATTTATCAAATTACATTTTGACTACACGAATTATTGTTATTATTATCCACATTATACATTCTTGAAGGTATTGTATTTTTGTAAATAATTTTGAATAAAAATAACACAGATACAAATTTTGTGAAGAATTCAACATATTTGATATATTATATCTGAATCAGTTCTCTTTAACTTCATATATTTATACGACGCATTCATTATTCAGAATTAATCTCTGATGCAAACATGCTTCTAAGTTCGTTTTAATAATTATTCTAATTAATCAATATTAATTTAACTAATTTTTATTTTTACTATTATTGTTTTTTTCTACTATTATAAAAAATACCGTTATTGGAAACAATACACAAAGGATAAATATCTCGTTTTACTAAAGATAATAAAAATTTTTTGTTTACAGTTTAGTATTTAAAATGGTTGAAACTGAAGAAGAATACACAGAGCAAATGGAAGTATTGGTTAGCTGTTTCTTGAGACCATTCAAAATGGCAGCAAGTTCCAAAAAACCACCATGTAGTCATGAAGATGTAAATAGTATCTTTCTAAATAGTGAAACAGTATTATTTCTACATCAAATATTTCTCAAAGGCCTCACATCTCGTATGGAAAGTTGGCCTACTCTAGTGCTTGGTAAATAGACATAAAGTTTCAAGTTTGATCATGTTTTAATAAAACTTTTGAAATTAAATACAAATATTAATAAACAATAAACTTATTTCAGGTGATTTATTTGATATGTTACTACCGATGCTTTCTATTTACCAAGAATACGTACGAAATCATCATTACAGTCTCCAAGTTTTGACCGAATGTAAACAAACTCCTTCATTTGCTGCTCTTCTGACTCGTCTTGAGAATAAACCTGCTTGCAAAGGGCGATCTCTTGAGACATTTTTAACTTATCCTATGCGTCAGGTAATTTGATTGTATAATTTACTCTTTTTCAAAGATATTGATAATTTATTTGATAGGAACAGACTTTATTTTATTTGATAATAAATTAATTATTATTAGAAATAAATAGGAAATAAAATCACTAGTAATTTAAATGAAGAAACGTAAAGTAAGGTTTTCTAAAAAAATTTCTTAACTTTATTTTGTAATAAAAATCTTGTTTTCTTGCCTCATAATCTGTCTGAATCAATGATCTCTGTAAATAAATTATTCAAGAATCCTTGAGATCTGTGAGGACTATAAAATCCTCCAAATGTTCAGTTTCCAGGTACACAAAGTCAATAGTCTAACTTTTGAAATGTTGTGAATAATGAATTTAAGTTAAAGGAAACTAAAATTTAAAAAATATATATTCGTTTTTATTGTCACTTTTAGAATATAGCATAGCTTTTGAGGACAAATGTTTTATGCAATAAAAGTTTCGACAGGGATTAAAATTAAAGACAAGATATTAATACTTTTTAGGTTCCACGATACATCGCAACTTTACGTGAGGTCCTTGCTCATACTCCTTATGATCATGTTGAACGTAAGAGTCTTCAAAATGCTGCTCAACAATTAGAAGATTTATCAAGACAAATGCATGATGAGGTAAAATATTTAACATTCTATTAACCTACAATTTATCCTGGTATTCACAATGAAGGAAAAATAAAATTTAATTGTTTATGTTCAGGTCAGTGAAACTGAAAACCTTAGAAAAAACTTGGCAGTTGAAAGAATGATTGTAGAGGGATGTGATATCCTTTTGGATGTTAATCAAGTGTTTGTAAGGCAGGGTAAGTAAATTTTACCTTTGATTAGGTATCCATTATTATTTTTAATTTCATCAATATAAATATGATTTAAACTTTCTGACATACATATCTAAGAAATTCTCTGTATTATCAGCTATTGAAAATATCCAATGAACAATCGTAGGTAAAAGCTTTTAATTATTCACCAATTCACCATTCTGACAAAAATTATAACCAGCTGTTGTAAAGCTTCTTTTTTATATCAAAATATACGAGCCAAATCTAATAATTTTTTAATGAATACTCCAGGCACAAATTAATGCATTAAGTAGCGAAAATACGAGCACTGTTAGCTTTTAATTAATATAAAATTATGATTTGTCTGTGTTATTTTCTCTTAGAAAAAAAAATTCCAAGCGTAATAAATTTCATTGTGTTTAAATTTCTCATATAAAAATATTTATTTTACAAATTATTTGTCTTGAGTCAGTCGTTTATTTTTTATTTTGTTTGATCAAAATTTGACTTCCTTTTATTTACGCATGCGCTCTATGACGATTCTCATTCAATCGATGTGCGTGATACACATAGATATAAATACGGTAACGTTCAAATTCACGTGATTATTGTGATCATGCGCAATTTATTACAGGGTTGGCTCGTTTACAGGGGTGTTATTTGTTGAATCAAATAATAATAACAATTGACAGAAAAAAACACTTTTAATAAATTCAATTATCAATGATGAAGCATCAAAAATAGCTACGGAAACTAAGGAGCTTCCTTTTAATCGAAGAAACATTTTATCTTCAAATCAAATGATAAATTTCAGTTCAAAACTTATGTTTATTATTTTTAAAAAATAAAATTTCATTTAAAAGAATTTGAAGGAAAAATTTGATGAATATTTTTATTTTTACATCAAAATCATTTAAACCATTGACAAGAACATTACCAAGATACACCCCTGATTCCGCGTGCTTAGGGTTTTACCGCATGGTTGCCAAGCAAACGTTTCCTCTTTTTTCGCGGTAGTTACATATACGATCGTTGAATAGTGAGAGAAAAAAATTTCTATCAAGCTTTTTTAGTTTTATTCTCATCCATAATATAAAAATATCCAAGTCAAAATCTAACGTAATCAGAGATAAACATCCTGTCGTCATCATAATTCGTTTTATTGGCGCCTTACGTCAGTTGCCATTTTGATATTAATACAAACGTGTACCAGATGTGCCATAATTACAATAATCAATAGCAATATTCAGTAGAATGTAATGACAGAATTTTCAAAATTGATTTTATAAATATTGGGGACCAAACCAGCATGAAAAAATTAGTAAGAAGAGTTGAAAAACCCAAAAAAAAATTCAAGTGTAAAAAGTCATTGGCTATGTCATAGGTTTGTTTTGTTTATAAACGTAAATTTCTAATCGATGAAAAAAATAATAAATATATGTATTTCTTCTCTAATCAAAAAGTGCTTCATTGCTCGCCATTTATTTAATTAACAACAAATAAGGTTTTACAGGTTAGATGTGGCACTGAGTAAATTCAATAACATTAAATTGAATTTTTTATGTGCAGGTACTTTAATTCAAATACTAGATAAACCTCGTGGAGTGCGTAGCAGATTGAGTGCAACCTTTGGAGGGAAAGGCAGTGGTGATAAAGAAGCCGTACGACAGTGTTTTTTATTTTCTTATCATTTAATAATTACAACTCGTCAATCCGACGATGACGGTCGCCTAAATCTCGTTCCTAACATAGGAAAAATTCCACTCTCTGATGCGATTCTCATTGAAGATCCTAGTGAACCAACCGTAGTAGATGATGACGGTAAAATATGCACAAAAGAATACAGTAATTTTTTTTATAGCATGCCTTTACTATCAGTTTAAACAAAATATTAACTGCATCAATATTTTTAGAACTATCAGTCTGTTCGGTATCAAGTGAAGTCAGTGAAAGCAGTGGTAGTGGAAGTGGAGGTGGAGTCACTGCCCCTTTAAGCAATCGAGATTTTAAAATTGTTTTAGATGTGAAATCAACTCCAGTGTCGATACATTTTGTAGCTCCCACTATGCAGGTAAATAAACATATAATAATGATTGTTGAATGTAAAAATTCAATTACACTGAAAAAACGATATTGTTGGATAAAGAATTATCCCATTTTTGATTAATAATCTGTCTTTCATTTTGTAGTACACGTATTATTGTTCTATTCAAGAATATTATGATCAAGAATGAAATTATTCTTAATTCAAAAATATGATTCTATCAGCGCACCAATAAAATAATATAACAAATGATATTTTAGGAGAAAGCCGCATGGATAAGTGATATAAGTCAATGCATGGATAATGTACATTTTAATGACCTGTTGCATGGAACTCTATCGGACACAAGTTCCGTAACAATGCCTCAGTCAATACCAAATGATCCAAAACTCTTCAAAGATGACGTTGACATCAGATTTAGTCGAACTTTGAATTCATGCAAGCTTCCGCAAATTCGTTATGCTACTCCAGAGAGGCTTTTAGAACGACTTACAGACTTGAGATTCCTTAGTATTGATTTTCTAAATACATTTTTACTTACATATCGTGTATTTACTGATGGTGTAACAGTTTTGAGAGCTTTGAAGAAAGTTTTTTACGAAGCTGAACCACCAGAAGCTTCAATGCCAACTGGATCTCTAGTTTCTTTAGACAGAATAACAGACATGACTGGAGATGGTCAATTACATTTAGACGATAGACGTAGAAGTAGTTCTACACCGAGAAGAACTAGTGGTGCAAGTTCTGTATCAGGGTATGGCTCTGAAGTTAGTGATTCTCGTGAAGCGAGAAGCCATAACTATTATGAATCTATTTTGGGCTCTCAAACATTAGCTCAAAAAGGATATTGGAGGTCGGGACATCGTAAACTAGAAGAAGAACAACCATTGGATTTGATATCAGAAGTTCCCTCGATTCTTAAGTGCAGTCCTACTTTGCAGTTACCAGGGTCTTCTTCAGGCAAACAATCTCCTAAGACTCAACGTAAAGTTAGCATCAAACAAGAAGATTCCGAGGAGTATGGAAGTCATCTTACTATCCCTAAAACTATGGCAGGTTCTTCGAGTTCCGAAACTTTAACAGGTATTTGAACTATTACGCTTTAATAAACCACTCTCTTTAACCCTTTCACAACTTAGTGAAGTTAATGAGTATTTACTTAGCCAAGTTATTATTCCTATTTATGTCAACTGTTTCAATACTTTTGAATTAATATTGATGATCAACTAATTATGGAAGGGCATAGAGAATTTTTGGTAGGATTTTTATTTAATACAAAAATTAATAAATAGATATAACAGCACATAGTGCCCTATCATCTCCAAGCAACATGAGTTCGGTAACTCTAGTAGGATCTACTGGATCAGGATCGGGATCAGGATCTGATAGAAGCCCTCAAGATCATATCCATTGTTCTAGAAGTGTATCTGAAGATTCTGAAACTCCATCAACTACAAAAGTGATGTCCAAAGATGGTAATTTCATTTATTTATAAACTTTTTAATTTAGAATCATTTTGATGTCCTATTTGGTTTAATAGCGAAGTTACAACATTTTTATGGAGAACATTAAACTATGAAGTTATTAACTAATAAAGCTTAGAAGAATATTAGAAGTTAAATGTTTCATAAAATCATAAAAGAAAAAGAATAAAATTTTTTTGATTGATAAAATTATTACAGAAGTTCAATTTACGTATGACGACACTCCATTATCACCCAAATCTCCAAAGTTTAGTCCGAGATCAAAGATATCAAGGAATCAACGATATAAGCGACGAGATTCAGACAAAGATGAATTAAATTGGACAGATGAAGATACTGCACCTCCAAATGATAGTAATTATGTTGGTCATAATCGTATTCATGGTCAATATCACTCTGACCCACACAGAGATTCGATCACTTCTGCTCCACCGGCGTCCGTGAGAAGTGGATCGATCTCTACTGCTATTGGGGTATATGAGAAAATATATACAAGCCTTTAATTAAAGTTTTAAAGGGATTCCTTTTCTTAGCTGACCTTTAATAATTACATTTATAGAATTATTGGGCTGGTAGAAGATCATTTCAAGAGGGTGAAAATAGTCCTGCTAGATCATCTTGTGTATTTCAGCATGATGCAAGTCAAGTATCTAGCAAAGCTGGAGTTGTCATTACCAGTTCTAGACAAAGTCACAGGAGGTTTGTTTCATTTAATATTTTAATTAATAAATTACCTCTAATTAATACCTGATTAGAAACAACAAGGTGCATTTGAAATTTAATTTATGAAAATTTTTACTTAAAAATTTTAATGAAGAAGCTCAATGAAAAATTATTTTAGTACAACTATGCCAGCCAGAATGGAATATTGTAAAATACTTAAAATTTGTGTATTTTTAATTCGATAAATCAAGAACATCCATTTTTAAATACTTGACTTATTTTTGTTTAATTTATTCCTATAGCTTTGGAACTAATCATGTGTGGTGAGTAGGCGCTGTAGTTAATAGAATCACTAATGCAAACATTTGATCCTCTGCATGAATTACCCTGTCTATTCATAATTCATAATTAGACAAATAGCTGAGTAGTATCACAAAAAATAATAATAGAATTTTAGAAGAAAAATTCTAATACTAAAGAGAATTAGAAGAAAATCCTTGCTTGCTGGCTGGCAGAGTAATTAGAGAATCTATCAAAGCTAAAAATAGATGATTTTAGATATATTAGATTGCTTTGGATGTTAAGCAAACTGATCTGGCACTGATAGATGATTTTTATTTTATTCACACCCTTAAGAATTCTTTTGTCAGAAAAATTGAAGAGAAAAAACATTTTTAAAAAAAGTAAAAATACTACTGCATCTGAAGTGACCTGTTTCCAACAAAACCACCTTCTTAATCATTTGCTCACTAGATTTTTTAAATGCAAACCATTTGTTTTCAAGTCTAAGCAGAACAAGATTACCTACCCTGATTTATGAAGCAACTAATCTTACTTTTTCTGACTCCTAAACAAATTCAACTGCATAAAAAAATTCAGTTGTCAGATGACTTAGAATTTGGTGTGGAATAAAGCAACTTATGATATGAAATTTGCATTAAATAACAAAAAAAAAAAAAATAAAAATGAAACAAATGAATAGTTTATTTTTAAATACATTGATATAGGAGCAGCACATCTACAGCAGCAACTGCGTTTGCTATAGCTACATCTGCATCTAGTAATCCTCCAGATAAGGTACCTAGTCGTTATACTGATGGAAATAATCGAAGTGGATCATGTCGTGATAGAAACAAACGTAAAGAACCAGTTTCATCAGCAGCCACTCTACGAGTGCTGAATGTCTTATCACATTGGGTATCTAAACATGCTCAAGACTTTGAATTGAACCATGAATTAAAAAATTTAACCATCGACTTTTTAAATGAAATTATCAGCAATCCTAATTTGCTACCAACTGAACATAAGACAGCTAGTCAATTGTTGAGATTGATTAGCAGAGAAGAGCCTGAAAACAATAAAATTGACTTGGAAAAGCTTCTAACTCCTCCAACGGTAAGTATATTGTTTAATAATTTTTTAAAATAAAATTAATTATTTTATTATTTTTCGAACATAGGTTCAAAGTAAAGAAAGCATTGAAACATTATCAGCAATAGAAATAGCTGAACAAATGACATATCTAGATCACAGAATATTTATTAGTATCGCTAGCGAGTGAGTATCTGTATTCACATAAAACTCTTTGCCAATGTCATTACACAATTGAAAGAATATTCGATTAACTAAAACTTGATTCCAACAGAGAATTTCTCGGTCAAGCATGGATGAAAACAGACAAAGCAACACGAGCACCACATATTATTCTCATGACGAAGAGATTTAATGAAGTTTCGCAGTTGGTTGTATCGGAAATCGTTCGTCATTCCAATATAGCAACAAGGGTAGCAGTAATTGAAAAATGGACTGAAGTTGCTAATATGTGTAAAACGAGTCGCAATTACAATGGTGTACTTCAAATATGTGCTGCATTTACAAATAGCAGCGTTTACAGATTGAAAAAGACTTGGGAAAAAGTTTCAAAAACAGTACGTAATTGTATTTTTATAATTAACTTTTCGTAGAAAAAAATTCTAATTGATGGTAATTGAATTCTGTGTATTCATGATATGCATTTCAATATAATTAAAAAGTTTTAAATAAATTGGTGATGGATGAATTTTTTTTTATTTTTATTATAGAATAAGTTAAAAAGGTTTTTGATTTTTTTTGGTTCCTATTTTTAGATCAAATTTAACTTAATTCTACTGGTTGTGATTTTTAATAGAATAATTAATTGCATGGTAATTTCTTTAGACTAAACAATCAATTGAAAAACTTCAAATGATTGTTTCATCCGATGGACGTTTTCGAAATTTGAGAGATGCACTGCATAGATGCGATCCACCATGCATTCCCTATCTGGGATTATATCTCACGGATTTATCATTTATTGAAGAAGGAACTCCAAATTTCACTGAAGATGGGCTTCTCAATTTTTCAAAAATGCGAATGGTAAATCTATTTCTAAATAACTTCCCACTGGTAAGTTAATAATCTTTAACGTTTTAATAATTATTCCTTTCATTTTCTCAGATTGCCCATGTTATTCGAGAGATTCGTCACTTTCAGCAAACACCATTTAAAATCCAACCAATTAAAAAAGTGATAAATTATTTATTAGATACATCACTACTGCTTGACGAAGATGACTTGTACCGAATGTCACTGGAGATAGAACCAAGAACATCAAGATTGAGTAGTGTAGCACTTATTAATATTCCACCAACCGTTGGACAAACTTCGTTAAAAAAGGACAATTAATTTTCTAGGTAAGACAGATGATTTATCGTTAAATATAACTTAAAAAATTTAAATTATTATTAAATGTAATTTTAATCGGGATCAATGTTAATATCTGAAAAAAATGAATTGATACAATTATTAAATCTTTTTTCAATATCAAACCGAGGAACTTGTAAGAAATTAAAAAAAAAAATATTTATTAAAAATATACATAATATATAAATAAATATATGGTATGTTACAATGATATTAATAATTGTATCAACAGATTGACTAGTTTCTGACATAAACTTTAGTTGACTGATTTTTTCAATGATTATATGAATAGAGTCTTTTATCAAAGTAAATAATTGAATGTGCCAAGTCAGTAAATTTTCTGTTAAACTGTAATTGAAAATTATTTTTTGAGAAAGAATTTAAAATATGGTTGTTATAAACTTCATCAATATAAATCTTATGACAGCGAACGTAGTTTGTTGGACAGAATATTAATCATATGATGTTAAATATTTCAATTTTAAACAAAGTAATTAAAAAAATATGAATCATTGATTATTTTAAAATGTTCACAATATCAACAATTATCGACGAGTGATTATACTAACGTTATTGTCAGTAATGATATATTTAATGCCAAAAAATTCATTGTGAAAGCTATTTTATAAAACTCCACATCAACGGGTATCGGGAGTTATAAAAGAAACACGCTAGTTTTTCAAAAAATAATAAACAAAATAGATAAAATATTAGATAAAATGATTTAGCCGTTCAACCCCGTCCGTTTCTGTCCACTACTGTAAAAAGTCAACTTGTTAAAGATCTTACGTCTTTAAATCATTATCTGTGATTCTCAATATTTGTACTTAAAGCCACAGTATTTATCTGTCTTCATATATGTTAAATAGTGAAATCTCTATCACCAAAAAAGACACAATAATTTTATTAAATTATAGTATATCTATTAAGCATATTTTTTATCAATAAAACTAACGTGTGATACATAAAATGAAAATAAAATATGTTAGAAATAAACTTGTTTGATAACTGTTACAAAAAGTGACACACTGTGGAGCGACAAATGCAATTTTGTTATTAAATAATTTTTGGAAAATAAAAGATGAATGAATAATTAAGGAATTTGATCAATCTGGCTTTTGGAGTCGCTCAATTTACAGTATTAAATGGCTTTCCACTTTAAAGAATTAATTTTTTTTTTTCATTATTACGGAATCCGATACCCGAGGAATTTTAAATGACTATCAATTAGATAGAAAAACTGGACAATCAAAGTGCATTCATTAAATTTTGGCCATTATCTTTCCAAGTGCATATCATATAATTCACATCAATCTTTTAAACGTACTCAGCGCATGCATAATTACGTCAAATATTTTTGCGTTTTAAAATTTTTAAAATATTGTCGTTGTCTTGGCGATGGAAAATATTCCAGTCGTAATTAAGTACATTATTTTCATATAATTGAAATATTTTAAAACTGGAGGTAGTAATTTTTTAATTAGTATGGTTTGATTATTTATTCAAGAATGCCAATGGAACATTGAAAATTTTTTATTACATTTTTGATCGATTATTCTGATTAAAAAAATATATATTTAAAAAAGAAATTCTAAAAAATCGAACATCAATAAAAAAGTGTTCGAATAATATATATCTTATGTCCAGAATTACATAAATCAAACAATACAAAAAAAATTCCCAATGAATTCCATGGAACTTTTCCGTAAAATGTTTCAAGCTTTTTTCAGATGAATTTTTTCATTTTTATTTCCATTATAAACTATAATTTTTTTTTAATTTTGTATTTTTTAATGATGTTTTATATGTATTATGAAAAAAACATATCAAAAATATTTTTTATCAACAAAGAATTTGAAAAATGGGGTCACTAAATTTTGCATAGAAATCTATTTTATAGTTGTATAAATATAGTATTTTTCTTTATAGGCATTTTGTTCACTTTTCTCACATAAATATATTCTTTATCATGATAAAATTCTACGTAACATCGGACCAAATAATTGTACGAATTCTCGAGTATAATTTGAATCGCAAATATTGGAAACCAGTAGCTAATATACAGTTCAGAAGTCATTCTACTGCAGATATTGTGATTACTTTACCTACTGTTTAGCTTGAATTTTATTTTCAAAATAAGAAAAAAATCTTTAAAAAAAAACAATTTTATAACTACCTCTATAAACATCACTGTTACCGTTAAATGTAATCAATTTATTCACAGATAAATTTATTTAACTCACTCACTTAATGTAATAAAAACTGACTAATGATAAAAAAAAAAAGTTACAAGACTATTGAAAGAAAAATTCAAATTTATTGTTAGAAATATATTTGTTGGAGATATTATATAAATCGTCGTTATGGAATTTCGATTAAATATATATTTATCAATGAGATGAGCTATTATAATGATCTATTTATTATAAATGTTATATGAAACGGTGTACATCTTAAATTGGAATGACTACCAAGGACTATGTATTTATCAACAGTAGCACCGATTTGTTGATCTACAAAGCTTTACAACTTTATGTTTTCTCACGTTGTTACGAAAATTATTTGATACAAAATCTGTTCCGACTTATAAAAAATGTTGGCCTATAAAATCATCAATATCTTAAACAAAAATAATTAGTAGCTTTTTTAATAATACCAATTAATTATCAACTATCAAAAATAATCATTATTTAAAAAAAAAAAGATAGTAAATTAGTTTTAATGGATTTAGTGAAGACAAAAGTAATGATAACATATGTAAGTCGACAAATCAATACTAAAGTTAATAGCTTCGTTAAAATTAGACGTTCACTTTCAGCAGCATGATAGGCATGATATTTGCGTGTATAAAATGAGTTTAAATCGAAACCTACGTTTAAATGTCTGCTTTAATACTCGACAGGCGTGAATGTGAAAGAATGTCCGAATCAATTAAAATTATAATGAACAATCTGACAGTAATGTACTGTCATTTTGATTCATATTATGAGATACATGAATATAGTATTATTGCATTAGAATTATAAGAACGGGCTGCATGAAGAAATTCGCTAGGATATTTAATTAAAATCTAAAAATATCTAATTTTCTATTATGCTTCCTCTGTCAATAATTTAAACATTGTCAAGATTGAACTTGGTTTCTTTTATCTTAAATTATATGCATATATTTGAATCTCTATGTAAGAAAATAACTATGCAAAAATGTACCGTTATTATACGTGTAATTTAAATGCCTTGCATTTTTTTTCTTAATTATATTCAAAAATAAATACTAAATACGTAATTATAAAAAATAAATGTCAATCATAAATTATGAAAGTTGTGAATAAAAAACAAAGTATATTATTATAAATGTAAAGCCATGTTGGTAAATATTAAAAGAAGATATTAATTAAATAATTAACTATATATATAAAAAAATATAAACCAAATGAATATCTTTTACATTAAAATTTCTAAACATGATTATTTAAAATCTATTATTTTTTCAATATATTGATAAAATCAATAAATTTGGACCGGTATCTTGTATACATTTAATGGAGAGAACAAGGCTTGAATTTTATCACTTTTATCGTAAAGCGCTGTCAACATATTATACCTCTATAAATGAAATATCATATATGTAATTATTAAATTGCAGAAGAGGTTATACATAATAATTAATAATTCTTACTCAAGTATTCATATGTACTGGGGAAAAATGTATACATATCGATATATCAATTCCAACATAAATATAACTATTTTCAAGACTGCTGCTCAAATAATTTGATGAATAATTAAAATTATCTTGTGATTGTTACTCTTTGAATGTTATATGTCCGATTTGCTTCGATGTGTAATCATTAAAAATTAATAACTTTGCATCAGCATTGGTATAATCAAAATAACGTACTTAAATTAATTCCATGTAATCTCTTGAAGCATAAAATGAAAATTTCAAAATGAAAATTAAAACATAGTAATTTAATTTTTAGCTGATTTTAATGCAGTTATTACGTTATGTGTGATTAATAGCTCTAGTTCTATATATGTGTAAGCTAAATAAAATTAAGAATGAGTCACCAGTTATATTAAATCAATCAATTACTTTTCGATAAAATACTGTTTATTCTTCTCCCTACAGTTTTCTTCTACTTATATTTTATATCTTTTTCTGTATAAATAAAAAAAATATTCTTCAATGCAAAAAAATTATTTCTTAAATTAATCCAATTATTTTCCTACTCCCGAAAAACATCGATTCCGCTTATTCATAATGTGTTTATCAATCCGTTGGTTTGAATTGACTCAGACGATAAAAAATTGACAAAAAGATATTCATATTATCGACATGAAATAAGTGACGTAATTTCTAACTTACCGGCCGATGATTAATGAAGGTAGAACTGATGCCGGGTGAAGGGAGAAGGGGGGACGCCGCAAACTCATCGATGCTTGGCGCCTTTTTGAAAAAACTTATGTCAACATGAATTTTATCACATTACAAATTCACACTTACAGATTTATTCACTTGCCATATAAAATAACATTAATTTCACTTTCGGCTCCTATTTCCCGAGACACCACTATGTACCACTTCACGATCACATTAAACACATATTTGTAAAAGCACTAATGAAAAAGCACTACACATTTTATTAATACTGTAATCGAACGAACTTCTATGTAAATGCATTAACTCCATATTATTCACTATTACTCATTTATAAAATTATCCATACATTCGCGATAAATTCTAAATGTACTTTTAATTAGAACGATCTTAATCCACCGGACGTGGATTGTCAACTGATAGGGCGAGACGCCAAATCAAAACTAATACATTTAGAAAAAAATCCGGATAATACCAGTAGCGACACTGTGGTTGCGAATAATTGGTGGAAAAGTAATCACATTAGTGTGGGATATTTTTTCGAAGAATTGCGTCAACACAAATGTAAACAAGTAGTTGAACGTTTAGGCGAACTAAGCGAGCGCTCGGAATGTTTGTATACAACTTTGTCTGTGTAGCACTGGCCGTTTGGTTGGATTAAATTCTTAGAATTTACAATCGTCTGTTTGTCTGTAGAATTTGAATCCAACAGTACATTCGAGTACTTTGACGCCATTTTTAAGTGGGCATTGTCAAGCATTAGAAACTGATTTAGTGATCAAAATATTGTTTAAAACAACTAAATAAATATAAAAATAATGTAAAATTATTATTCTTCATACCTATAATATTTTTTTGTATCAAGTTAATAAATCTTATCAAAATTTGACCATTATTATAATTAAAAAAGTACGTATGTCGAACAATATGTATATGAAATACAAAAAAAATTTTAATGAATTACAGACTTTTAAATAAAAATGATTATGCTTCTATAAACGTTAATTGAATTAGTAAAGTAATTAAGATTGAAAAATTAATGAAAGTTTGCCTTCGTATTGAAACAGAATAAATAAGAACGTTATTAACGGATAACCTGGCTTTTCTCTGCGTGTACATGTTAACGTTTTAAATGTTTCGGACTGGAATCTTTCAACATTAGGTATGTGAACTAATTTTATTGCATGGAAATTACATAAAAATTATAATTTATATTAAATTATTAATTTATAGAAGATAACTAACTTCAAATTGCTTTCCAGGTATTCCAATTACTATTAAGGATAATAAAAAAATTCATTTATAACACTTAAAACAAGAGCAAAAAAATTTCTATTCTCAATAAAAAATTATGGTAAATATAAAAAAATGAAATTTCTTAGTTTAAGTTTATCTTCTATCAGCTATAAGCATTATCACAGAAGTAAACGTTAGATAATCTTCATAAAAAAATATCAAGAAGAGAATAAATTGCTATGGTTTTTCTCTTAAAGATTTTCCAGAGCCTCTAGCATTTTATATTCTTTATCTTTCAATGGTACATTCCATTTAATTATAAAGTAAAATAACAAGAAAAATTAAATGAATTACTAAACCGTTTAACTTCCGTAGGATAAAAAAGTAATTTGAAATAATATTTACATAGGAAATAATTAATTTTTTATTTCACTTACTGCAGTCGTATTAGTTTAGTAAATTATCTTGAATATTCAAGCCAATCGACCTTTGGAATCTTCAATAAAGGACTATTGAAATTGCGTTGCGTCGCTTAATCAGTATTCGCGAACCTCAAAATCGTCAATATCCGGACATAGTAGAGTATGGGATCAAAATCGAAGCGTTTCCGTTGGTTCTCCGATCTCCTATCTCTTCCAACTCGGCCTCGTTTTCTGTACTCAGCGATACAATTTCCTGGAGCAATCCGTGCCTTGATGAGAGGATAACCATCCCTTTATTTTCGTTACTAACCTGAGAAAGCTCTTACATTCATTTTTTTAATCGTTCTGTTTTATAAGATTCTACTTCAATAACTGCGAATGATATCGTCCAAAGCCTCTTTATCTCATACTGTCCTAGTTTTATTACTATTTTTGTTTGACATTTTTTATTCATTAATTTTAATGCATACTCAAACAATTATTTATTTTTATTTTAGCTTTACCTAAATTTCAAATTTATTCTTTTAATTATTAACGCAAGTTGATAAAAATAATTGCTGTAAATGCATTTAATTCAATTTTATTCATATAACAGAAGAAAAATCAATATGTATTATGATACAAATGATTAAGAAAAAAAAGATTTTTAATACTGTTATTCATAAACAATTTTTTTTCTAGATTAAAGCTGTGATACAATGGATTTGAATTATTCGCTACAATTATAAAGCTCCAAGATAGAATCTGAGCACTGATTGTTATGTAACATCTTCAGTGTTGTAGCACGCAATGGATAATCCTTAGCTGCTTACTCGCTGCTTCTGATTCCATAGAATATAATCAATGCTTCTGAGAGTTGCTGGATGGGGCTATTACTTGGGGACAATAGGATAGTTATAATCAGAATATAACGCACGAGAGCCTTCGAGGTAAATTTACCTTGGTCTGTCGCAGGACAATTCAATTGTACTGCTGAAGTTACGGTATGTATAACAAAATGAATCATGTGCGCGCTACCATCTTACCATAATTAAATGGACTTGGCTAATGAGTTGCACTAGTTCTATTAACTGACCTCATTCAACTAAATTCAATACACAAACAGCAAATTAACAGCTTTGATGAGGTAAAGGGACATGCGTCTCTTTGAAAGTAGTAGTCAATTAGAGTTGTAGAATATTCTGCAATTTACCAATTTTAATTAAACCTCAAAAACAGCTAAAACTCGTTGGTTAAAAATTAATTAGACATTCAATTTTAAAAATTTACTTAATCATTAGCAATTTAATTAAGACTATAAAGAATAATATTTAAAAATGTAATTAACAAAATTCTTCATTTTTATGTTTTAATACAGAGATGTGAAGCAATTAAAACCAAGGAATGGTTGCAAGGAATTGAATCAATTTAAAAAATTGGTGATTAATATGTGTTAGTTACTTCAATTTTATTTGTCTCTCTCTTATCGATCAATACTTAACTATTTTGGCAATAATCCAGACCAATGCATCGAAATCAGCTGTTACCCAATCACCGGAAGTGTAAGGGCATTTGTCGTGCGTGTGAACTACATAGGTAATAAATACATGATTTTTCAATTTATTTCAAACAATAAATAATCAATCTCTCATTAATATGATTTTTCAATACAGTTCTTTTGTTTGGAAAATTTTTTTGCAACTAATAAGGCATTTATCAAACACCCAACGCAATGGAAAAAAATATCAGGTGCAACGTTGATGTTGAGACTCGAAAAGCTTAATGTATAACGAAAACAAATTGGTTTAGCCGTAATTCCTACTACGGTACAACATCGTTGCTGCGTGATGCGTTTTAATGAACGCTCTTTTAATTAGTGCCATAATCGCGAGCTGGATGCCAGGGGTTATCCAATTTTCAGCCTCTTCGCGCTGGAATCATGCCATAGCTTTAGGATGATAATAATTTTCGTTAAGAATCTCATTCAATTGTTGTCCGTGGTTTTCCACCATTAACCGTCACATGGTATCATGGCAGTAATACTTGTAAAAGTTAGCTTTTCCCTCGTTTCATTGTTTTCACATACTAGTTCCTCTCTATTTTTCCCTTTCTGTATTTTATTCGATTCATATAATGTTTATTGAGTTGCTGTCTGATGGAATTAACTTATTGATATTTTTATTAAACATTTAATGAAGAAGACGTGATCAACGATTGTTGGCAGAAATAAAAGTTTGAAAAAGCTTAGCAGAAGAAAGAGAAAGTTATGTGCAAGCTCCACAGTTCATAGCAAAAGCACGTGCGATTGACTAGACTTGAAAAGATTGCCGGTGATAGAAAAAAACTTTGGATTCTGCTCCATACCTTTTCTTTTCCTTCTTATGCGATGTATTGAAGTCAATGAAGCGACGAAGCAAGAATTAACGAGCAAAGTTCCTTCGACAACTGCCTGGCAATTTTCTTCCTCTTTCTATTTCTCATCTCAAAGTAGGAACAAAAAAAACTTCTGAAACACGAACGAATGGTCTCTATTATCATGAAACTCACCGACCTACTAATCCATCATAGCGTGAGACGAGGTCATGATGAGAAAAGCTCCGTGAAAATATACGCAGTATGCACTTGACACATTTTAGAGAAATTTTATGTTAAACTTATGATAGTGATATGCATATGACGTTTCTTTAAATAGACAAACAAACGTTGAAATATAACTGTCATAATTGTAATTTGACAGAATCATATACTTCCTTAATAAGTGTGAGTAATATGAAAGGGTATGAAATATGTTTGAATATTTGTCTTAATAAATAATTGAATAATTTGATGTAATAGATATCTTTTTTATTTGGAGAAAGATACATCAAAAATATTTCGAAATATCTTACTTAGTGAAAAGAAGCATCTGCTTCCCATCATCATCATCTGAGAAATTAACTAAATTGGAATTGCAAACTTGTGATGATTCTCTCCTTCCTATGTTTGTAGAAATTAATTAGAATTTGATGAGTTGCCATTTAATATCTTATATCTATACTTCTACATATATATATATATATATATATATATATATATCTACCAGAAGGCAACGCAATATACATATATATTAGAGTAACAATTTCATGCAGCTATTTGAAACGCACAGAAACTTGCATTTACAACTTGGAGAAGCATTGTTGTATGTCGTACACTACGTTTACTTGTCGAAAACTCTAGTTTTGCTCCGGGGTGATTTGTAACACGACAACCTTTCTGTCGTTGAACTAGGTAGTTTGTTCCTACGTGATCGTGTCCTTACGTCACTGGAGAGAATCAAGAGACACTCACGAACATTATCCAATCACTCAAATAGACATTTGAAAAAAATCAATATTACGGTGATTAAAAAATGATAAATAACAAAGAAAATGAATATATAATTTATCATTCATTATTATTTGATTAGTGTTTAACTGGAAATTAATTTTTCCAGAATCTGTCGCAATTCCGGGCACGTAATACAACATTCCGTATATTGTGACAGCCGAATATTTAAATATATATGGCCAGTTTGACTGGGAATGTGCAAATCAATTTTGACGAAATAAAGCGAGGCTTCGTTGTGTTAATTTTAGTGGCTTGGAGCCGCCTGGGACCACTGACGAATAAATCACTTGGTTCGTTCGTTGAAATTCCAAACGTCGCACGTTTTCAAATAAAGCGTGAGCGTAAAAAATTGATTTTCGATTGTCCATGGAATAGATTGCGGAGGACCCAGTCCGCGGCTTAAAAGAGAATGAGGAAAATTGAGTGAGGTAAATAAAAAAAGTCACCCACCTACAATTAGGTCACGATTGGGAATAATTTTGTTTATAAATACTGATCCTCTTTAACTTTTTTATTTCCTATATGATTTACTTTCAGAACATTTACTCGTTACTGTTTATTCTCACTCATCACTCTATTTATTGAGATATATCAATAATAACCAGTGATAACGAGAATAATAATATTCTTCATAAAAGTAATACAATCATATTATTTGAACAAATAAATCATTATTTATTATGATGAATCAATATTATTATTTGATATTGTGTTGTTCAAAAAAGTAATTGATGTATTCAATGATTTATTAAACACTGTGATATTTAGTTACAATTGAGTATCTACAAATTCATATTTTAATGACGTGCACATTTCAATTATAAATAGATGTCAAGTCTTTATTTGACTTAATGAGAAATTACTTAGTGGCTTTGAACAGGTTAGGATTTATTATTGTCATTATTAAAATACCACTATCCTTCATATCCAATTTAAAGTAATTAAACTAAAATAAGTGTAAATGGAAACACAGCCAATTGCTAGGTCACGTTGAACATCAACGTGACAACAGATATAAATTTCTAAGAATCACTTACGTCAACGTTATATGCGAGAAGAAAAGCTGAGTTGCTGTTTTTTATTGAACCTCTTACTTTACAGCTTACGCTATTTTCCTCGAGCCATAAGTATGTATTTTTTTATTTTTCAAAGGGTTTCAATTAATAATCAACTTTATTATAACTCTAATAAGTATTCACATTCAATAAAACATCTATTTATTTTGAATTTTTCTATCGATATAAAAAAATAATCGTTGCCATTAATTAATTTTCTTTATTAAATCGAAAATTGCTATAAAAAAAGTTATAAATAAATAATGATAAAAGAGATTCTACAAATGAAATTCCTGAAGGTATTTCTTTAATATATTCTGTTTAATTATAACAAACATGTCGTAAATCTATTATGGTTAAAAAATACTTGTTTAGTTATGTACACAGGAATTTAGCACACAAAAATTAAGTTTATGATTAATCAAAAGTTTCATGTTGGTAATAAAAAAACATTATAATAAGTGTAAAGAGAAGTGTGAAAGAAATAGTACAAGATAAACAATGCTGTAGCATTTCACAACATTGTTACATAAATTTAAAACGAATTAAAGAAATGGCCAATAACAGTGCGAGAAACGCGCTACTCGTAACGGAAAACTACCACCTAAAATGCATTTTCACCGGTGATAATAAACCGCTGAATGCTACGTAGAAAATTACTGCCTTTTTTACTCACACCATCAGAATATGTAGTACGAAAAGCGAAATATTCTATAGCATTTGTTTCTGTCCAATTGCCATTCTTATCTGCACTTTTGAAAATTGCGACGTTTTGCATACATATTTGTTAATACATTGCTACATTGAAATTCATGTAAGATAAGTTGTTTCTTTCATCAGTTATTTTCTCTATAACTTTACCACGATAATGTCATATTAATATTTCTACATTTTTCTAACTTTCAACCTTATTTCAGTCAACAACAGAAAAAGAATATATAAAGTTAATGAAAATTTTTTGATAAATGATAATGTGGTGTATAATGAAAAAACAACATGTGTTGTTCTGTATATTACAAAGTAAGAACTACATGAATAATAATGTCGTCAAAACTCGAAATTGGGAATGACATAATACTCAACTTGTCATGAGACAAAGTTAAATTTTGGTAATGTATTTGTGAGTTGTTTCTGAAGTTAGTGCGCGGTGTGAATTTCTAGAGATAACAAACCAGAATCAGATGATATTTACTCCAAATTGACCGCAAAGCAAAGTTTGATGTAAATATATGTATGTATGTATTCATTTGAACTTCAATAAGAAAAAAATCAATGTATGTCAAGAAACAAATAAATAAGTTTACTATTAAATCGTAGGTATTACAAGATTTACTATATATTTTTTGTATCTCGAAGATTGATTAGTACTATTGTAATATTACGCTTACTTTTCTATTACAGGTGGTGAGCTAAGCTTTGATTGACGTCATGCACTACGTAATTACTTCCGAGATTCAACATCAAACGAAATGTATCCTGCACGTAATGGTATTAAAGGTCTGAAACTAACATAAAACAAAGTAGCTGAAATAAAATACTATTCGAGGGATTGATCATTATGTACGATAAATCGAACACAACATTAGGTTTGATAGTAATCATAACATATTTTATCTTTTTATTTTTATTAATTAAAATTGCTGCATAAATAAATTATAGAAAGATTAAAAATATCAATTATAGTAGTTCAAGTTCATAAGAAGAAAGACTAATTAAATTCATTATTCTTAAAAAAATATAATAACCGTTATTTTAAGAATTAAAAGCACAAAAATCAATTCATCATCAGAATGAATACAAACATAAGAGCATCTTTGAGTCATTTCTCTCTTTATTTGTAAGAAACAAATCAATCTTTCATATCATATGAATAGCCGTAATATCGATGATATAAGCAATAAAAATACGCTATAGATTTTCACAAATAATAGGTTATCTTTTACTTGATTTATGAATTCTAATACAACTAGAATTAACAAAATCAATAAAACAGTAGATACTTCCTTATATACATTTATATTATTTCATAATTCAACATGTTTGAATAATGTTTTCTTGTCTATCAGTATAATGCTTATCATCGTCTAACAATTGATCATCATACATTTATTATTACGTACTTATATTCTACCAGTCATTCGTTATCTTAATTAATAATTATCATTACTCGCACATATTTGTTAGTTATAATTTTTTTTTTACATTTACATATAAATCAATTGATGATTTCAGAATGTACAGGTGTATGGCTTAGGGATTTAAAGCATCGCTAACATGATGGTATAGTGAAAATTAATATTCTCCATCCGTATAAAAATTTGCGGACAAACCACAGGCTATTTTATACAGACTTAATTATACATTTCATTGTCATAGTTTTCTGTATAATAAGAATAGAAAGAATTAAAAAAACTACGGACATCATTTTGGAGATTTTACAGGTATTTTAATCATATATAGAGTATTCCATATCGAAACATTTCAGTTTTTTTAATCTTTATTGACAGACTCTATACCAGTGATGTATATGATGAGCGAACACGACGTAACACATCGAGCGTCAATTAACGGTATTCGAGGTGAAAGAAGCTCTTTTAAATATCACTACAAGGTCTATTTGAGTATCAAGGGACGGGAAAACTGATACTATGAAGCTTGCATTCGCTCAATTGGTCAATGTGTGACCACCTCACCTCGCTTTTCCGATTTGCACAACACGGAAATGCATGGGTACATCACACAAGCTATTTATAGCACCCTTAGAAGCTAAGTAATATTCACAATGAGGTCGTCGGGTCACGTAGAAGTGCCCGAGGTACGCGCTTTTTTCTCAACATGTCGTCTATCTTTCACATCGTCTCATTAAAACGTATTTGCGAGTAAAAGATCATTTCAATCTCGTATACTTACTCTCATCAAAAAGTGTTTATATAGTTAACGAAGTCATTTGTAAGTATCAATACAAAGATACACTCAGTAAAATTCATTGGGCAATTAATTTACTAGCAGTGAGAATTTATTTACACTCTTTCTAAGCCTTCTAGCTTGATTTTCCATTTGAACTTCTATATCATTCGTCTCATTCTGTCTACCGTTGATAAATTTCTGCACACTCAATGTGATTAAATAACGAAACAACTCAATAAAATTTTTATATATTATCAATTCATAGAATATAGTGTATCTTCACGCATTCAGGAAAGCTCATCATCATGATGAAATTTCCGATAGAAAATATACATGTACCAATGTGAAACATTTCATACAAAATAACTTGACATTGCTTCTATAAATTTAAATTTCCAATGAAGCAAATTTTACGTAGCGTATCTCTATTTTTATTATTAAATTAATAGTAAAATGATAAAAAATAACTTGATTTTCCGCAAATTACCAATTACTTGATTTCATGTCAGTTTTTTGCTGATATTTTGTCTTTCCAACATTTAAAAATTTACATTCTAATTTAATTACAACTTACAAACTACTATACATAGAGGGATATGTAATCTCATGGGTCATTAATTTTTGGATTCACATAAGGATATCACGACTCAACCGTGTACGGGCTAAATTGCCGGACGTTATGTTCATCGTCGATGAATATTCAACTTGATTCAATGTCCGTTAAAATTTCGGTACTCTCACACTTCAGACTTCTTAAATATATTTTTATTAACATCATAATGTATTGTGCATCACTCTATTTAGGTAATATAGAATTCCTTCTCGATGCATCCAAATTCGCAATTATTTATATCAAGTGTACCCTATCAATAAATTTCCATAAAACAATTTCAATAATCGTTATCGTCTGATGAGTATTTCATCTAATTAGTTTTTCATTATAATATCAATATTCTACACGAGAATTGATTTATTTTAATGTAAATGATAATTCCTCCAGCAGAATTTATTATGTTCGAGACGGATCAAACATATCTTTTAATATTAATCATTTTAACAGTCATATTCAAATAACTCAAAATATATTTCCCATTTAATTCATTGAAATTAATTTTTTTTGTCGAAAATTATTAATTACACAGGCTGCATTTTAATAGATTAACTTTTATGTATTATTTTTCATGACTAATTAATTTTTTTTTTTCATTTTCATAGATAATATTTTTCAATAAAATAATTTCGAAGAATATAATAACAATATATGATAAAATTATTTAACAAGAACGAAAAAAATAACAATTATAATGAAATGTTTCCTTAATTAATTTCATTTTGTAAAATTTCTCTCTTCCAATAAAAATTCAACAAAATATAAAAATTTTTATTTACAAATTTTTTTTTTCTCTATTCGACTATTTTATACTTTGTTAATGCATCTTTGAATTATTACATAAGCCTGTATTATTAATAATAACAATGACAATGAAGAATTTTTTACACCAAAAATGTCTCTGTTAAGAATAGAGTTTGATGCAACTTTTAATTTAACGCGATATAATAGATGCATTGTGAAAGAATTTAATGAGTAACAGGAAGTGGTAAGACTTATATTTCTCATAATTAATCAAACTTGTCTGATTATTTCAAGCAAACATCAGGACGTACGTGGATTGAATGAAGATCGATGCTTCGTGAGTGTTGTACATGATGGGAATCCAGCTGACGCAAGCAGTAGAGAGATACACACACCTGACGAGCTTTTCTGTCGAATTCATGTCATACACTTGGATAAATTGTCGATTAGACGGCAGTATACCACCTCTTGTCCAAAACTAGGCCAGAAAAGAGTTCCTAAATCACATAATCACTGTCCAAAATTTGTCGGAATTAGTGATTACGGCCTGTCACTGATCAGTCACCTTACGAATGAGCCAGCATGAAGGAATATCAGTAGTAGAGCCAGAGTACATGTCGCCGCACCACTGCTGCTTGAGTTTCCATGTTGCATTGCTGCTGGATGCTCTCCTGAGAACAAGTATATTCTAAAATTTACAAAATTCTTAGAATACTTTACATCTCATGATATAACATTAGAAGGTAAAATGAGGTTTTTTTTTAATTTTCAAGTTTAATAACGTGAAATAAGTCAAACTTATAATGTGCAGAATGCTTGAACAAAAAATAAATAATAATAAAAAAAAACAACCATTTTTCAGGGAAATGAGAATTTAACGTTTATGAAGAAAAAAAAATGATGCACTGGTTGCTGGAGGTAGTTGGTGAAAGTATGAGGCTGAGTGTACACTGTACGAAAAATACGTCCGTTGCCGGGAGGGATATGATTTTGTACGGTGTCCACATGCCGAAGGCGAAGCTTAATGTCAGTTAAGTCAAGCGAAAAGAGAAAAATGTCTTATTGGTTGAAATATGACGTAAAATAAAAACGGAAAAATTTCCAAGATTTATCGAAGTTATTAACAATAAATCTTTCTCATTAATTTTTGCTATGAAAAGACTTTTCCATGTTTTTCCAATGTACATACAAAAAAATTTAATATAACCTCTGGATTTTATCCTTTTTTTTTTAATATATATATATATATTAAAACAAAATATAACAAGAAAAATTGCTATATGAGTTTTTCTCTCATTATTCTTGTTAAAAAACATATTTTATTTTGAATTAAACACTTTTATAAATAATTTTCATTTAACACCATTGAATTATATATAGAAATGGTAAATTATAAAATATACAATCTGAAATGAATTTAATAAAATAAATGATTTGTAAAATATTAATAGGTGAATAATGAAATTTTTTCTAAAACATATTACTCATTCATTTCATAAATTCTTGCGTTCGCTGCAAATGCATTTAGGTCAGCGAACCAGATTCATAGGTGATCAAAGTAAAACAAGTACTGCTCTCATTTGAATTGAAGCGTAAAATATTACTGTGAATGAAACTTTGATTTGAATGCAACACTGTGATTAACATTTTGTTGACAGTCGTTTTTTCTTTTGAAGGATCTTTGCTCTAAAAAGTGTAAGCTGACTTGGATAAGATAGTTTCTGACTATATATCACACGCTTTAGAATGTAGGCAAACCATAGAAGAAGCGTACAGTATCATGATTGTTTTCAATATCTCTGGAGAGATCACTTGAATTTCCAGGCCAAAGGAATAATATAAAGCATGTGATATCTCCTTCTGAGACGATAGTACTTTGAATGTAAGTTTCACCAAGACAAATGAATAACACAATGTTTCAAATATATTGTTGTCATGGATGAGAATAATATTCATCAAAGTGAATGAGTAAGCAATGAGAAGTAGAATGTAGAATCGTCAAATGATATAACCTATGCTTGCTTTGTAGAATAGACAACTGTTACCTAGTTTATAATCACATTTGCTAATAGAGTTTTCATTTTGCATTTAATCATAATATCCTTTATTAATCGCTCAACTTGCACTGTCATCCCTTTAATAAATCAAAACATAGCACAATTTACATATCTAAGAATGAGAATAGAGAATGGAAATTCACCAAATTAAATAAACAATCTTCTATAATAATTTATCTTTAAGAAAAGATGTAGAAAAAAGATCCTTTATGTTATTGTATGAGATTTCAAGAGTTGAAATATCAACGACAATAAATAATTGAATAGAAATTCAATCGAAGAAACAATAACAAAGCAGAAAAAGTCAGTAAATTTTTATAACTCGTTTGACCAACTTGATCAGAATACATTTTTCAATCACAAGTGATACTCATCGAAATATCACTTGGTCTTAATTACTTGTCCATTCGAATGTTCCATTTTCAGATCGTCATAATAATAATGAATACGATTCTTCATTAAAGCACATAATTTGCTGACAATCGAAATCGTTTAACTGGCATAGAATACAGATTAGCTAAACATCGAATGAAAGGAAACAAATTGAGATAAATACTGAAATTGAGAATTATTTGTGATGATGATAATATTATTATCAGAGAATACAGGCCTGTTTACTCAGGAATTTATTTTTCTAAGATAAATACTGATTAAAACAAAAGACTCTTTAAATCACGTACGTCTTGAAGCGCATTCAGCAGAAAGTGCTCCAAGTATACGAAGGAATAATCTACTCTAGAATTGTGAAACAAATTAAAACTTTTCCATCGGTACAAGATAATTGGTTTAGTTATTGGAGCTAGATAGTGAATGAATTACTAACTTAGCAACGCAAGTATCGCATTGCTTCTCTGCTTCAAATTTCAAAAGTTTACAGTTTTTGCATCCTTTTATAGTGAAAACGTTAAATATGTACCATTGGTTTAAATGCACTCAGAATCAATCAAAGAATAAATTTTAAAAGTAATAAGATATAAATATTTTGCGTATATTTTATAATGTAGCTCTTTCAAGAACAGTTTACATGTTTACGCGTCATATCGTAAATATTCATGAATAAACTCTAGTAGAGTAAATATTCCTTGTTAATCCGCGAACGGTATCACAGAAACATGGATAATGTGAAATGCATATTATATTTAGTAATTAGTACTTTTCTCGTCAACATATGCCACTATACATATCTTCGAAACTCTATATGATAAATAATATTATAATTAACTTTCAAAATTCTATGGAATTTAATTTCTTTAATACTTAATCTATTTTTATTTATTTTGTATAAAATAATTACAATTAAAATGAAACTCCAAATAGAAGACAGTTTCTTTTTATCATGGAAATAAAATTGAATTAAATCAAATGTTTTCAAGTTTAACAACTAACAATGCAAAGTTAGTTAATTAGAAGTAAAATAAAAACATTCATTAAGAAATATCTTTTATTTTCTAGAGTAATTATATAAAAGACTGTCGAATCCATAAATTATTTTATTCTTGTAAATCAGTTGAAATGAATAGAAAAAAGTTATAGAAATTATTTCTATTTTATTCAATAGAATTATAAAAAATTAATGAAGAGCGAATGAAATTTTTTTTATCAATGCTATAGAATTTAATAAAATGAAACATTGTAAGGATTAACAGATTAATCATTTGAATTCACTTTTAATTGGAAGTGTAATAAAAATATTTAGTAGAGAAATTCTCTAGTGTTATCTGTGACAAGGAATAAATGTTGTAAAAACGTGCACTCGCCATCATCAACGAAGTGGCGACAAGAACACGATAGTGATCCTCTTATCTCCAACCATAATCCACTAGGTAACCGATATCCACGCGTGACAAGGAAATAGGTGCGAGCAACATGCTCTCTACTACGCCACTTTATATTTCTAGAGCACAAGTACTTCCGATATAGAATATCGTGTGTACAGAATAGCATAAGTAGAAAAGAGAAACAAAATAGAAAGAGAGAAAAACTAGCCTGATGTATTAACGTCTTGCCTTCCATTTCGTGCTAGCCACAAAGTATGTTTGGATGTACTACAGTGAAGGAGTCTTGATACTCGCCGTTTCTCGTTGTTAAAATACGACTACTGATTCTACATTATCGTCTAATGTCGTCATCCGTCCTCGCCTTAGCTTTAATTATTCGTCTCGCGGTTAGTCAAACATTTAAGTTAATATTTATTACAAAACTACATTTTCTCACTTACACTCTCCCTCTTGTTCACCTTTGTTCAATATAAATTTATGTAATCAATAATTAATTATATCACTTTAGCTACGAGCTATTAACACGTAAAAATTTCAAACCTCTAGAATTCTCTATTTATTATGTAATTTTTGCCAGAAATACTTCCTTGTGGAGCTTAATGAAGTCCAATATTTAAGGCAATTACTCAGAATTTACTTTCAAAGAAAGTCTAAAATATGCGCAAGATGGATGGTGAATATAAAAATAAGAAACTTGTATTTAACCAATTTTTCAAAGTATTACATGACTTTTTATAGCTAAGTAATAACTGCAATAATTAGCAAAACGTTTCTTGTAAAAAAGGACTTGTTACTTGTAGAAAATAGTTATCTGTATCAAAAGGAAAATTCACTAAACTGGCCAAGTAGATAAGCCCATGTATTGAATGAAATTCCTGGTCCAAGAAGATAGAGTCGACTTTGTTGGAACCCATCGTATAACTCAATGGCGTAGTAAACCTTAAATATCTAAGATGAACTTCAGCATTTTTATTGCAAATAATCGATTTTCAAGAGTAGTGATTCTATATTGATAACTTGAGTTACTTGAATTTTATGAATCAATTATAGCTGAGATGAAGTTATGAAGCAGTCAACTTTCATCTAAAGAAGAATTGAAGTTAAAAATAAAAAAGTCAATAACATGATATCTATGTTGAAGTAAATGATGTATTACTCGGGTTGTTAAGTAACTATTTTAGATTTCCTTTTACTGTAAAAATACATCCACAATTTTCAAATAGCGATAGAAAGTAATGTATGCTGAATGAAAGCATACGTGAATTTTTCGTCTACGTATGTAAGAGAAAGACGAAGGAATGTCTCAGTGCACCTGGCAAGGATTTGCATTGGACAATATCTCGTCTGATTTATCCCTCTGGGAAACCGCTCTCTCAGAGAAGTGAGAGAAGAAAGAAAAGTAAATCTATCTGAAGGATTTATTTGCTCAACATTTCACGCGTCTAAAAAAAAGAAAAATAACAACGAGCATAAAAATACAAGACACGAGACAAGTATATGTACATCTTTCCATCTCATCCCATCGGATATAAAAGAGCAATATTTCTAAGAAGCGTCTGGAACTAAATAACAATATGTTGAAAAGACAACAGATAATGCATATTAAAATTAAAATGAGATGGTGTGATAAAATTTTGATAAAGTTGAATCAATAAATAAGCTCATTATTCAATCTTAACTGTTGAACAATAAAGATGAAACAAAGATGTAATAATGAAATTTTAGTAATGAAATTAATAAATGATAAATGGTCTGGGGATTAATTAGCGAATATTCATACTGATTCTCATGAAGTGAAATAAAGGTAAAAAGTCTTACTTTATGTAGTAAGTAGAATTAATGGAACAGAAATTACAAGGAAGTGAGTTGGTAATTACCAGGTCAATCGGAGTTGTTGAATGAAATTGGATAGAAGATAGAATGAGAAGCAACAAGAGATTGAGATGAAAACGAATGACCAGGGAGTTCACTTACCATTAAGCACGTGCACCAGGACACTTGCTGACTCTGCTGTAGATGGAGCACAGGTGTAATTGCCAGAATCTGCTGGGAGTGCCCGAGAAATCAACAGACGAGAGGTCTTGGTCTGTTTTTCAGTGACGACACTGATTCCTCCCCGTTGACTGTAGTTTATCACGTGCTCACCTCTATACCTTTGGCAAATGAGAATACACTTTTCTTCATTTTGTCGAACATAAAAAGCCCCTTGAGAAATTAAATCGATTGCACAACAGTAATTGATTTTTCAAAGCAAATTCAGTATTCTGAATTGCAAAGTAGAGTACATTAGAGTGCAATTTTCGTACTGTATATCAAATGAATGAAAATTACGATAGATATATAAAAAATGTCATTCAATTTACCAGTAAATGAAGGACGGCGGCTCAGGTGTCTGTAAAACGATGCAAGTGAGATTGATATCGCTTCCACTTTTAATGTAAAGCTCAGAATTTCCCATAATTTTTGCTTTTGACACTGAAACCAAAAAAGATGATATTATTTTTCTGCATGTCTGGCTACTCCTTTTTACTGAATAAAATAAAACGTTTTGTTCATTTTTAGATTAACAGGAAAGTGAAAGTAAATTGGACTAAATGCATTGCGTCAGGCTACAAATCGTTTGCGCTTCATCGACTTCAGTGTTCGCTAAGGTTGAAATTGCTCTTAATCGCTGACGCTACCCCATTGTGATTGCCATCGATTATCAAACACACCTCGAATTTGTCGATTCAACGTTATTACTATTACTTTTTTAATTTTTACCAGTTTGGAAATTTTTTTTCATTCTCCACTGCTATTATTCTAGTTTTAATTTAAAAAGAAATGTTTTTTCACTTATATATATATATATCGAACAGTTGCGCTTGAATCTTTTACTCACCTACTACATTTAATTTATATGCCTGGCTTATCTTTGGTTCTGTTGATACTTGGCACTCATAAGTTCCACTATCTCGTATTTGCGGAGACGTAATTTTAAGTGTCCACTCATCACTTCCATCACTATGCATGGCTTGAAACCTCTGGTCGTTGGTATATGTTAAGATTCCCACAGTCAAAATGTGAAGATCCCTCTTGCGTATCCAAGACACCTGACCATTAAAAATTTCAAATGAATATTAGAGTATAATCTATGATTGAATAATTAAAAAATTTTAATAGAGAAATTTTTTATGGCCTTTATGAGGTAAAGCAGCAACATAAAACTTGAAATTGACTTTCAAAAACTTTTGATGAACAGTTATAATTAAAAGTCATAAAACCATAAGCTAACTGGTGCCAAGGTACATAAGGCAAGTATATATTCAGCTATTAGCAATGATTGAAATATCGTCTATAAACTGGTTATACTGCAAATGGTGAATTTCTATCGTAATAGTATTTTTATTGTGGACAAGCAATGAACGATTCCAAATATAAATAGGTCATACAAAAATTTGCAATTTTGTACACAGTAAAGCGAGAGGACGTTGATTTTATGTGCGAATATAAACGTTGACTAACGTAAACAAAATGTATGCGTATTGTGACTTAACAGTGGGGTGAGCTTGATTTATCGTCGATTACAATCGGTGATTAGAATGGGACGGGTGCACGGTGTCACGAGGCTGATACATGACTATACCAGATAACATATAATGTTATTATTCACTGTGGCTTTGACTCCGTTTTGCACCGAAGGAATCACTTTGAACACGAAATATTGTACAAAATCATTTTCACCCCCTGGTTCCACTTTACAATCATGCGTTACCAATTTTTTAGCTATAAAAAATCATTTGTGCTACAATATAATACAAAATGATTGTGGGTAATGTAATTATATGCATTTGATTGATCGAATATATAATTGGCGTGCATTGTAACAGTCATGTAGATGTGAGAAATTTCATGCTTCACATTTATTTCATGAGAATTACTGCCCCTCGTCATATCTGGGCTATTTGCACAAAGTAATTTCATTTTCATCAATTATGTTCTGAGTGGTAATTGGAAGATTAATATATATTACGTGAAAATATTCAATTGCTGACATTATTCACAATGCTAACGATTTCATTTATTTTGATTTATTATTTACTCTTCTTTGAATGTATTTATTTTATTCCTTCCTCGCGTTCTTTTTCTGCTCCCTTCTCTAGGTAAACATGCACAAGCGATTTTTAAATAAATCCATTCGTATAACACGAAACAGTTATACAATAATAACAGCAATCATAAATCGTGCTACAGAGTAATATTATTAAATATACTTGAGCAATTTCATTAAAAGTAGTACCTAAGACCTTAAATAATCACGTCACACTAGGGTTCTTTGTATAGAGCAAGTGTAAAGTTTTGTGCCACTTTTTACACATTATCAAACTGATCACGTGCAGATATGACTGCAGAATACTTACAGCACGATCACCAAGATTGCGAACCCTACAGTAAAGATAGGCAGATTGACCAACAGTTGTCGTTGTCTCTCGTCTCGTCGTGTTATCAAAGTATGGCTGACTGAAGGGTGGTTCCCAGTAGGAAGACGGATGATGCTCTATCACTGAACCGCCATTTCCACTCTTGGCCGCACACTCTAGAAAACAAACACATTTCATCAATTTCACCATGTCAATACTCGGATGCGGGCAAAAACTTCAAATGAAAAAATATAGTTTCGAATCTAAAAGCTGGAAAAATATATTTCAATTAAATCAATTATTTTTAGTTCGTTGAATACTTTTTAAGCTGTTGTATTTTTATCAAAGAGTGCAAATCATCTAGATTTACAAGTTATTTTATGAGATAGAAAATGAATGTATAAAAAAATACATTTGTCGATATTGAGTTTCATGTGATGACCAGGACATTTCGTTTTAGATTACCAAGCACTCAGCAGACCTTCTCAGTATCATCTGATCAAAGAAACCTCGAGTTTATATGTTTCACTGGCATTGAATACTACGGCTACTACTACTTGAATACTACCACCATCACCAGCATCAAGATTGTATTTTAGCTTTGTGAATAATATACCTTAGAGTTGTAGGAATCCCTTTTCTCCCATTTCCAAACTTGTGAAACATTAATAGATGCTAAATTTAGATTGTAATTAGTGAGCATACACATTGAAAGTCATAATTTGTTCCATGTTTTATTTTATTGTGGTTTCTAAAATAAATTATCGATAATGGACTCTCAATGAAGACTTTTATATTTTTTGTTTTGTTTACTATAAAATAGACATAACGTATAATTTTTTCTGAAAAATCAGATAAGTCAAATATATGGTCAATTCAACGTTTCAACATATTTACTTGACATTGATAGATGGTTGGGTTCCAATCGATATCTTAATTAAGAAGAAAAGCTGGAATAACTATAATGTTATGAGTTTTTTCTGATCATTTTAAGCTTGTTTCATTTCAGTGGGAGAAAAAGTGTTGGTCATTATTATCATGATTGTTTTTTTTTATGTAATAAAATACTAGGATAAATGTTAAATTCTCATGTTGTTGTAACACTGATATATGATGTGATTTATGGATTGACATAAGTATAAGATTTTAGGGAAGTTTTTCTTTGAGGAAATAATACCTATTGCATTATAATGGAATAATAACTGAATAAAAAGGGTGCAAGAAAAACTGTTAATCCTTAGAAAATTCCATAACTGTATAGAAAAATGAAATAACTTTTGTGGAGTATTGATTTTTATTTTTCGAAAGTCACTTAATACTCGGTGCAATTTTATTAACGAAAAAAGAGAGACACTGAGTGAGTGAAAATGGGGTAGAGGAAGGAGGCAAGGGATTATAGAGGATGGAAGAATCATGCAATAGCTCATCCGTATACGTAACTTTTTGATGAAGCTTCCGACACTTTCTGATTCAATTCTTTTCATCTACTTTTAAAAATTGGCTAAGTCAGCTTCGAGAAACTGAATCCGACCCCACATCTTTTTGCTACATTGTTATCTTAGCCGACATATTGGCTACAAATAAAGCAAAAAAATCTTTAACTGACTTTCTCGGTTGCAAAAAAAATTGAAAACTTGAATAAAAATTTTTCACCGCAAAACTTTTTTAATATATAACTCTAAAATAACTGATAATTATACAATGATATTTAAATACAGATTCGATAGCATTTAATTGTTTGAATTTGGATAAATTATTAGAATCATATAAATCCAATGTGTCAAAAACAAATTGATAGGAATATCAATCATTCAAATATTTACAAAATTTTCCCCTTAACAAAATAATGCTAAAAATGAATTTATGTTTGTATACGATAAATTGTGTGGAAAAATCAACAAACAAAAAATTCGTAGATGTTGTTACTTGAAATGGTAGTCAATTAAATAAATTACATAGCAAAAAAAAAACTTTATGTACATTCGCTATTATTGCAAAAATATATGATGATTCATTCTACAACGCTGTGCTACGAAGATAAGTGCTGGCGAGGTCACCACACAGGATGATCGATCATTCCACTCGTAGTACCTGTCAACTGAATGAAAAATACTCGGTGAAAAATAAGATATAACCAGTGGTAAGATAAAATTTAGAATACACTGATCTATGTATCTTCTGTATTATTCTTCTCCGTTTGATATTTATTATTTGAGTGCATAGAAAGTGGTGGGAATACTTATCATGAGTGAAACCGAGTGTACTTTGAATATGACGTGATTTCAGTAATGTGATTAATTCAAGATATCATAGATAAAATCTTAATTAGACGGAACAGACTCGACATATGTATTGGGGTAAATTATTTTGAGTCTTTACTAAATCAGTCTTCAGGGTGTTGAATTCTACAAAACGTTGCATGTCTCGCATCATTAGTTACTCGAACACGAAAGACTCTCGTTACCTAGCAGAATCAAGCCGACCCAATCTTCCTAGCGAATCCGAAAAAAACTCATCTGTGGACATTATAATTTCTTGGACGAAAAAGTAAATTGTTGTATGGAAAGTGGAGGGATTATTTATTTGCATAGAAGTGTAGGGCTTGGAAAAAATAGAAAATATGCAAAAATTACTCCATTAAATATACTGAAGGATGGAATAATTCATGTTTAATTATTTTTAAAATGAAAGATTATTTTTTATTCTCTCGTAAATATATTTCTACTTTAAATAATTAATTTTTATAAGCAGATATGTGAATAAATTAATTGAAAGTTATTATTTCTAAAATTTTTATTTAATTAATTATTAAATTTCATTGACATTATTAAATTTAACATCAAAAATTTAGATAAAAGATTAAACTGAAATTATTTGCAACAATTATGAGGTATTTTAAAGAGGGTTTTTGTTTGTAAATGTGTTATAAAAGGATTACTTTGTTGATAATCAATTTTTGTCAAAAATCAACTCTTTAATAGAATTAATAATTTATATTTAATAGAAAATTGAATATTATTAAAATATTAGACAAATCATGTAATAATGATCCATAAATAAAAAAAGTATTTCAAATAATTGCAAAATGTAATTAATACATTGAAATAAATTTAATCTATAACTGTTTAATTTTAATTATACAAGTTTATCATTGATTGATTGATTATATATTAAATTATTTTATCATACAAAAATACCCGATACTTTAGATTTCCAATTTATTCCATTTCATTTTAATTAATCATTCAATCGATTATTGTAGGAAATATCGTGTAATTCAAAGCCATTAACGTGAATCATAAATTTGTAGAAATAATATTCGGAGTTAAAATTGAAATAAATAATTAAGGTAGAATATTTATCTCTGTTGATGTAATATTTAACAATCAATTTACAGAATGCATTAAAAATAAAAATTAATGCAATAAAATGATTGAATAATTGCTTTCAACGTTTAAAAAAAATATTTCACAGTAAAAAAACCTTATTATTATAATTGGTAGCTCTAATGGAACATAAAAAGAATTAGAGTAATACTGTCAGCGTCAGAAAAATGAGTGTCACCTAGCGTTGCTGTAATAATCAAAATCGATATCAAGATATATTCTACATTTAATAATGTCATATCTTATCAGCTTATTCTGTAAAATATCTGTTACAAAATTTATAGCAAGCGGCTTTCAACGATATATATATTGGTCTGGCGAACTAAAAGAGGTCTTTTACTCAGTCTCTCTGAAGTGACTATTATATGGTGAGAATATTGTGCTATGCCCAAACTAACGAACCACCTAACCACAAAATTTTACCTTGTGGCTCAGCACTTTCTGCTTGAACTACAAATTCGCTTTTCCACAATGAAACTCAGCCATTTCACTCGGACAATTTCCCCAAGGTATTTTGCTATGTCATCTTTTGAGTAAAATAAATCAACGTGGCAAATCTTAATGATTAAAAGCATAATTTTTTTTCAACATACTCAAGCATGTTTCCACTGAATAGATTTACAGAAAGTGCATTTATCTAAAAGATTCCATTAAGCAATTAAATTAATTAGTGATAGTAATTAGACGGTCGGAATTTTTTTCCCAGAGGTGAAATTACTGAATAAACGACAGATAAGGAAACAGAATCCAAAAGTAAGATACAAGGTGGAAGCTTACGAGAGTAAAGCTGTGGAGCGAGTTGTCTAAAGTTTCCTTAAACGTCGGTTTGTGTTAATGGAGTTACAGTCACACCGTCTTTTCTAGGCTGAAACAGTGATTTCGCCGATTCGCGGCACGAAGAGTACGCGGAACAAGAACTGTCACAGACAAACGTTCGGTCAATTATAAGTTGCTTGAGGACGTGATCAGGGTACGAATCGAGTGACGAAGACTTGAAATAAAGGCAAAAGATAGTACGAAAACGAATGAGAAAATCAGACATAAACGAATAAAAGTAGGAAATAATAGAGAAAATAACGATTACCACTGCCGTAAACAAAGTGGTTGCAGTGTATGTACTCCGTTGATGCGATTTTGCGTTCAAGTTAATGGCTAATTCATACTTTACCATGAATAATTGAATATACTAAAGAATTTACCTCCGCCAATTGTATTTTTATTTTCTAAAAAAAAAATTATTAGTTCTACTGTTTCATATCCTTTCTCTTTACCAGAATTGTGTTTAGACTAATTTTTTTTTATTTACGTACAAAATTGAATGAAACGTACTAAAGTAATACTAAAGTAATATTGGTTTGAAAAAGCATGTGAGCACGCAATGCGAACAAGATTGAAATCAGAATTTACCTCTTGATACCATCAGACGTAGATGCGAAATAAATAAACAAAAAAAAAGAAAAAAAGCGTAAAAGTGACAAATTATAAGGTAGAAAATTCTACATAATGTATAGATTCTGATAAAGAATTATTACTTGATCAAGATAAAATATCGTGACCAAAGACTAAAATAAATAGAGCTTATTTTACTTTATTTCGAGTGCATTTTAATAATACTTAAGGGAGAATATGCAGCGTCATTTAAGTGTATACGTCTTAAAGAAATAGAAGCTTTTTATGTGCATTAGAATCTGAAACGCCGAAAAAATAATTTACTTGAAAAGAATTTATATACCTACATGTATACGAAAGAGAGAAAAGGAGATTGATCGATCAGTCTTTGTAAGTGTATA